CCCAGTGTTCCAGTTCTATTCCCCACAGAGGGGAGGGGAACACCTGCAGTGGGTTGGAGAAACAAAATTTGAATCCTAACAATCCAAGTTTGTTTTTCCAGCCCAACAGAGGAATTCCCTTTTGCACTTGGAGAGGATCATGTGGGCACCTCTCTGAATGACCAAAACAATTTACAACCCAAATTCTGGAGCCAATTGTGGTTATAAGTCAAGGATTGCCTATGGTCTGATTTCTGTTGAAGCGAATATGCAACATGTTGAACTTTTTAAAATGTTTTCAAAGTGCTCCAAATAGACATCCAGGGTCAAGACTGGAAATGGCTCTGCAAATAGTGGAGCCAACATTTCTGGCTAAGAATAATCAACAAGTAGATTGGTTCCTTCAACACTCTCTGGACAAAAAGAGGATGTAAGATCACTCAAGCTGTGCTCCGCACAATTACTTCTTACAAGAAGACTGCAAAGCAGCCATCTCCAGAAGCAAGGAAATTTGTCATATTTGCTCCAGCTGTAAATCAAGCATAAATAAATAAATAAATAAATAAATAAAAGAGAAGGAAGGAAGGAAGGCATAAGTCCACACTTTTTTTGCTGATCACTTTCAGAAATTGCCCATTAATTGCTCTAAAAAAGTTAGATACTTTCAAAATATCAAGGTTGGAAACAGAGTGAATGCCTTCTATCGTTAATATAAGAAAATGAAAAAATGGTAATCTTTGAGAATTTTAATAAATAGAAAAATGGAAGACAATGTTTTGGCTACAGAAAGTTTAAAATGGTTAAGGACTCAGAAAACATTAGATTTTGAAAATTAAGACTTTGAGATTCATTTTAAATAATAAATGAATTTTTGAAGGAAAGAAAAACTGTTTTTTGATCTTGAAGACTTAGCAAGGAATCTATGATGGTGTTCAGAATCATTTTTCAGGCACTGCATTAGGATGCTGAATCAATAATGTCCGTTGTGTTGTCTCTTTTTGGGAACAGATATGCAAGAAAGTCCATCTGAGAACAATATGAACAAGAATTTGAATAAGGATTTGTCATTACACATTAAACATAAAGGAAAAATTTGTGAAGGAAATAAAAATGACAATCACAGAATAATTTCTTTTTACAGGACATACAAAGAAAGTTGTTTAAAGTTTTGAAGAAATTTGAAACAAGGATCAATAATCTGAATGGATTGAAGAGCAAGATTGATTTATATTTAAAAAAAGGAACATAAAGTTGGTTTATTTGATTATGGTTAAAATGAAACATGTTATTTTGGATGGTTCTTTTCAGATTTGCTGACATCTGGACTGGAAAAATGTTCTGTACTGGGTTTGCTTACAGTTAACAAGGTGTTTAAAGCTTTCTGCCCTAGAGTTTCAGTATCTATCCTAATCTGAGAGCATTTAAAATGACTTTGTATCAAACTGTCCTTTCATTTAAAGTATATTTGTGAGCTTGTTCTCTTTAAGGGAGAAATTGTCCCTCTTTGTCATGTTAAATTTTATTTACTTCTGTTCACACCAGGATATTGGGACCACTTTATGCCTTCTAAACGTGCATTTCCTTACAGTTAAGAATCAATAATGTGGAATGCTGAGTTTTAGATCTGCTAATCAATGTAATCAATCTATGTTTGGGCTCTGCTTGGACTTTTTGCTGACTGGTGAAGAAGTTTCTTATTGGATTTGCCTAAAGTTAAGAATGAGTTGTGGGGTGAAGTGTTTTACATCTGCTAATTAAAAGGAGGTGAAGAAAGTATTTGCTTTCTTGGTTTCTCTCTCTCTCTTTTTTTTTCTTGTATTCTTGCACCCATTTCTTTATCTTTTTTAATTTGTTTTTTTATTATTGTATTAAAACTTTTAATAAAATTATTTTAAAAAGTACTCCAAATAGAGATCAAAGTCATGTTTTACTTAAATTGAGTTCCAAGCTATCTACTCTCTTAATGCAGACTTCTGAAATTGAGTAACTTCCAAATGTGCTAGGAATGTTGGTTGCGATGTTGGCTGAAAATTCTGTAAATATTTTCCACACATCTGAAGATTACAAGTCCTAGAAATAACTAGTTTCCATCATGGTTACATTTATGTCACAAATGTTATGCATTACATTACATTGATAAAAAAAATGGCTTTGAAATGGGACCTGCATTATTTATGAACAAATCTGTTTAATAAATCTTATAGCTATTAAATCTTTCCAATGGATATAAACGTTAGAACTCTAATTTCTCTACTTGTTGGATTTACTGAGTGAGATAAGGCAATCAGAACAATACTGGAATTTGCTAACCACTACAACTTACAAACAAAAGTAGGCAGTCTATTGCTCTCTTGATGCTGGAAAGTATAAATACATACATCATTTCTGTACAACCATTCCAATTGTCGTGTACCACCCAGAGTCATTTTTGGTGAAATGGAAAGCTATGCAAAATTTATTAATAAAATAAATAAATTTCTAATCTAAAATTTCTTGAACTCAAATTGTCCTCTCTTGAGTTGCATGCAAAACAGCTGTGCTGAATTAAGCCAGACTGCTTCAGGCATTTTGGAGCTGGTTTGAACTCAAGATACACCCAAACTTAGCAAAACAACTGTTTTGAACTTGCAATAGAAGTTTTTGAATTAGAAATTATTTAAATTCAAAATACGTTATACAACATTGCTTGAAATTCTGTCTTCTACACAATTTTACTTTCTGTTACTCTGTCAAAACAAAGATGATATTAGGCACCGATATGCCTCTTTTCAGCATATAGCTTTGGCACAGCAGAGCATCATGATGGGGAAAAGTCTATTTTGCCTTCTGGCTAATGTGTATTTTTACTGGCAACGTCCATTATGGCAGCCATTTTGTGGACATACATATCTTCATCCATTGGAGCTGTCCATCTAGGCTTTCATAAAACCTAGGTTCATGGAACCTATTTTATCCCTAGATTGTGAACACAATTTTCATTGCAAAACTTATGGATCCATTCCTTCTAGGAGCCGTTGGCCTTTATGAATGTTATACTGAATTTATTTTAAGGCTGGAATGTTTACTTCTGTTGAATTACACAATGTAGTGTGGCCCCCATAAAGTACACACAAATGCTAATGTGTTCGCAGATAGCACTTTTAGTGGCCTTGAAGTTCCCTATGCCCTCTTTTTATTAAAAAGAAAATATTTTAACCAGAAAAGTGGGGAGTTAGCAAATTACAAAGCAAAATCTTTGCTTCTGAACCCAAATGAACCTTATAAGCTTTCTTAGAAAATAAAATGATGGGTAGCTTCCCTATTTTGTTGAAAACTGAATGATCTGTTTTCTTTAGAGAAAATCAAGCAAGCAAGGGCAATAACAGAGTGAGGTATGACTTGACAAGGGACTTTAATGCAGTGACTTTGTAAAGTACAAATTATTTTTGCCTTGAGAATAGCAATCTTTTGATACTACATATTCTGAGAAAATGGATATTCCCAAGGCAATGAATAAATTGATATTAAAACTAACAAGTAAAAAGAAAAAAATGCTCCTGAGAAAAATTAGGGTCTTTAAAGCATAAAAGAAACATAAGATGAAGGGCAGGAAATTTCTGGCGTCCCTCATTGCTATTAATACAGGAGAGGCGCTGATGATTTTTTTTCCCATTGCTACCTAATGCTGGATCAGTAGGAAAAGACAGAAGCAAATTCACCATCCATTGCCCTGAAACATCCTGCAATCAAAACTGTGAGATGTTGCTAAAGCACAATAAAGCTCAGCTCTAAGATGGCTTGCTTAAGGCTGATGACATGTCCTCAGTGCCTTCACCTGATGGCCAGTCTGCCAATGAAGCAAATGCAGGGTGCTTCAAAGAGATCCAGAAGGAATGCATTCATTTCCATGAGAAATCAGTTCATCCTCCTTTGCAGTCACCATCTGGATTCACAGGGAGGGGAGTGAAGGACCATCCCCTCCCATCTGGCCACAGATGTGTCTTCTCGGCCATTTCTCCTTTAGCTGCTGAAGACAGCAGAGCCTTGCTGGACAGCCAAGATGTTCTATTCTCTTTTTGGCTCCGCTGAATGCCAACATTGTGGAAGGTATTCCACAAGGTCAATATTCTTACTAGCCACCTCCAGTGCTTCTGCAGTGGGGGGGGGGGATGAAAACCCAATAAAAGCAGTGTTGCAACTTTGCAACTCAAACACTGCCCCTTTTCCATCTTGTTGTGATCCTGCACATATGCAAAAGGGGTAGAGCCTGTGGCATGATGCTGCTCTTGCCATTCTTATAAAAAGCAGCCGAACCCTGCAGATGCCACTGACTGTCTTCCACCAAGATCTCAACCTTTACTTCCACTAGTGCTGAAGAGAACTGCTGCTGCCTCCCAGTGTCATGGGGGACTTTTCCTTCTTCTTTGCAGTTGCAACCCTACCTTCTTATGTAGGCACAATTTGGTTGGCCTTGTTTTAGAGACCCACTAAAAGGACAGTTGTCCTCCAGTGGAAAGCAGGAAAGCCCCAAGCCAAAGGTGTGGGGAGAGAGCCCTTTGTTTCTAACGCAGGGATTGCAGTCAGCACCTTGAAAGGGCTCTAGGATTAGGGCGAATGTCTCAGAGCTGTGCAGTAGAATGGCCTTCGAATACAGAATAACAGAGTTGGAAGGGATCTTGGAGGTCTTCTAGTCAACCCCTCTGCTCGAGCAAGAACCCTATGCCATTTCAGAGAAACGATTATCCAGTCTCTTTCTGAAAGGCTCCGGTGGTTCTGATAAGCCTCCAAAGAAGCCTTGCCACTCAGCAGCTCTCTGCATCGCCCTTGTCTCTCTCTCTGGCTCGCGGTGTAAGCTTAGGGCCTGAAGAGCCGGAAAAGAGGAGCGCTGCGCCAAGAGCAGGACGTAGCTGGTAGCGGGAGAAATCCCCGCCCGGCTCCTCGGGAAGAAGAGGCCGCAACCTGGGTCGCCTCCGCTTTTCCTTTCGGGCTTGGGAATGTTTTCCTTTGGTGACCCGCTTGGCCGCTCCTCCCGGCCGGCGCCCGCGGGCGGGGGGGGGGGTGCGGCGCGTCAGTCAGCTCAGCGGCGCGCGGGGCCGCTCCCGTGACGTTGCGTCTCCCGCTCGCCGCATCTTGCCGGCTGCGCCTCCGACATCTCCAGCGCGCCCCTTTGGCCGAGGCGGAAGGCGAACACCTGGCTCCGAGCCCTGTCGCCAGCCGCGCGCTTTCGCTCCGAGCCGCGGCTCTGGACTTGGCCAAGGAGGGACCGGAGGGAAGGACGCATGCCCGGTGTTTGCCGCGGAGGGAAGGCGTCTTGCCATGCGAAGGGCTTCCCTGCTCTTGAGAGGAAGAGAACCGGCCCGGTAAATATGGTCAGTCATGTCGTGGCTGGCTTGCTGGCTGGATGAACTCCAGCGGTTCTCGCTGCTCTCCTTGTTTACAGCCGCTTTGGCCGTCCTGGCCGTCTACCTGGTGCGGTATGGTCTCAGCGTCCTGCGGCAAGGCGGTGGGAAGCCGCCTCCCCGGCCGTCGCGCCCGGGACTCCTGCAAGAAGACGAGGGGGGCTCCCTTTTCACCTGGCTGCTGGCCCTGAGCAGCTGGAGGGGCGAATGGCAGAAAGCCTGGGTCGCAGCGCTGAACAAGGAAGCCGGATTGCGGGAGGTGAGTGAATGCCCGGATCCCCGTCCAGCAGGGTTTTTTTTAAAATGAGACGTCCGTGAGCTCCAGTTAACTTAGGTACTTTTAGCCAGGAGTCTCAAAGGTGCCTTTTTACGAGGCAGCTGGACTTTCTTGTTTTTCTTCGAAAAAGTTTCGTTTCTCATCCGAGAAGCTGCTGCTGCTGCTTCTTCTTCTTCTTCTTCTTCTTCTTCTTCTTCTTCTTCTTCTTCTTCTTCTTCTTCTTCTTCTTCTTCTTCTTCTTCTTCTTCTTCTTCTTCTTCTTCTTCTTCTTCTTCTTCTTCTTCTTCTTCTTCTTCTTCTTCAGAGCTAAAGAAGCTTCTCGAATGAGAAGCCAAACGTTTTCAAAGAAAAACAAAGAAAGTCCAGTTGCCTCGTGAAAAGGCACCTTTGGGACAACCATGACCTGGATGACTTGAGAGGCTCCATAGACTTTTTAGCCAGGAGTTTTTTCCGCATCAGAAGTAACTAAACCCACAGAGGTAAAACTAGAACGCAAGCAGCGCCTTAGTGATAATCATTGTACTGGGGAGCTTCTACAGCTAAAAAGTGTGCCTTGACTATGGCGTGTAAAGGTTTGCACTGACCTGGTGACAGGTAGTGTTTTGTCTTGTGATGCAGTCCTGTTTTGTGTGGGAAGGTGACTTAAAAAAAAAAAATCAACAGAATGTGCTTAGTAATGGTTCGATCCTAAACAGAAATTATCTTGAATTCAATGGGGTGGAGGGTCTCTTTCAGGGGAAAAGATGATAAGCTTCCCTAATCCTTAAAAGTACAGGCAGTCCTCAATTTACAACAGTTCATTTAGTGAATGTTCCAAGTTACAATGGCACTGAAAAAAGTGACTTACTGCTATGACCATTTTTCACACTTATAACCATCACAGCATCCCCATGGTCACATGATCAAAATTCAGATGGCAATTGGTTCCTATTTACGACAATTCTACTGTCCTGGGGTCATGTGATCATGGCAAGCAAAGTCAATAGGGAAGCCAGATTCACTTAACAACCGTGTTACTAATTTAACAACTGCAATGATTCATTTAACAACTGTTGCAAGAAAGGTTGCAAAATGGGGCAAAACTCACTTAACAAATGCTTCAATCAGCAACATAAATGTTGGGCTCCATTGTGGTCGTATCTCGAGGACTGCCTGTATTTGCAGATATAGTCATGATGACGCCTTCCTAAATTTCTAGAAAGTAATAGTAAATAGGATAAAATGATAGTTAATTTTCCCCTGCTTCTTCCCGAGCAATGGCTGAGAGAATTCATTTATCCTACTTAACATGACTTTCCAGCCTGCTATTGCGTGTGTTCCAGTAATAATTTTTAAAATGGAAAATTAAACAGTAATTTGGGGAAGAGGGTCAAAGAGTAGGAAACAACTTACTGTAGAAAGTCGGATAGGAAATTAGCAGTACCTTGCCTGCGTATATCCTTTCCAAGAAAGCAACTGCATCCTCTTCAGTTCACTGCTTGGCAGACAATGTTTCTGCTTCCTCACTCAGCCTTCCAAACTCAAAACAATGCTGTCATTGCGAAACTGCATTTGTTTTTGCTGCTTTGCCACCACAACAAACAAGACTTGGAATAAAGGGAACACAGTCCATCACAAAGCACATGCCACAGATGTTACGTTCTTTATTATTATTCACTACAGCCTAATAAATTCCATGGTTTAGATTAAGATATTAATTTTGGAACTACTGGTGCATTTGACAATATAGATGACACCTGAGTTCTGTTCTCCATTGGATATTTAAATAAAGTGAACATGTTTGTTCCCTCTCTCCTTCGTGCTGTTTTCCACTAAAATTATTCCTTATATTTAAACACATATGGAAATGTAAAGAAAAGAGAGCTCAGTCATAAATATATCAGTTCATTTTATTGCTAAACAACCATGGGTTTTGTGATAAACATTTATATTTAATATAGCAAAATTATACTATATAGTACAGTATACCACAGTCTATGAAATTAGGCCTGACTGTATAATAAGATAATATTTCTGTGTGCCTGACTGCCTTTTGTCAGGAACACATTCAAAACATAAATCATTTGGTTTGGCCTCTTAAACTAGATGCAGAAAAGGTGGAGGGGCAGCCTGTGAAAGGATCGCTAAGAAAAGATGAGGAGCTGAACAGCTTTCTCCAATCTAACACTTTCCAGATTAGACCTAACTCCCATTATCTTTAATCCACATATTCAACTACAGTACTAGAGAAGGGTGATGGAAGGATAATCAAATACACTGAATGAGTAAAATCGTATGCAGCATCTTCTGAACCAGTTTGGAATTTTGGGCCTTAAACTGTAGCCCTATATAATATTGTACAACTGGAAGTCATATTTACCATATAGCAATGAGCAGAGCTTACTCATGTACTCATTCTAAGATAATCAGTACTCATCATGGAACATAGTGTATACTGGATTCACACATCATATTAAACCTCTATGCAATTTGTTTCTGAACCAAAGCACTGTAATATATAAACTTTGATTTATGGCTTAATAAATATATGGAGCTACTTATTTATAGCTTACAGATAGTCCTTGACTTACAACCATTCATTTAGTGACCATTTGAAGTTACACCAGGAAACTTCATACTTACAAAAGTTGCAGCATTCACATGATCACTTAATCAGAATTTGGGCACTTGGCAACTGGCATGTATTTCTGGCAGTTCTCTTTATACTTTGTTGTTATAAAGTTCTCTTTATACCAACAAAGCCTAGATGAAAAGAAATACTTTCAGAAGGTAGCTAAAGATATTATATGAGCAAGTCTATTACAATGCACTGTAGGACTTGTATTGAGAAAACCAGCCAGAAGTAGGATTTTTATAGGTCCGTAGGGATTTTTATAAACTTGATGGCAAAACTGGACATGGACATCCAGCAAACCACAGAAAAGGTTTCTTAAGAGCACAGGCAGATATATTTAAATTTGATTAACAAATTGCAGTTAGTTACAATTCCCAGTTATTTATGCCCATGGAAGTTTGAAACCAAAATGAATGAAAAGCCTCACTGGATATGTCCATACAAATCCATTTAATTATTTGGTTACCCACCTTATTTTGGTTCACATATTTTAATTCCAGTGGGTGATGTTGATTTTTCATAATATTACTTAATCTATGATGATTACAGGTAACACAATAAAGAATTAGGGATGTGCATTCAAAACCTATTTTTAAAACTCTGTGACTCAACATTAACGATAAGAATGATTTGAATTAATTTTACTAAGCAATAGACTGGCAACAGAGTGCAGGTGGTTACTAGGGACTTCCATAATGAAATACATTAGCAAAACTTTGAAATGGCAGAACTCTTGATTTATAACGAAGCAGCGTTTAGTTGAAGATTGGGTTCTTAACTTTGTTCATTAGCACCACAGCCTAGTAGAATCTAGATATCATGATATTATTTTACAATGATAAAAATTGCTGTAATTCAGCAAAAGCTCAAGCATCCCATTCAAGGGAAACTGAGGGACTGCACAGAAAGCATATTGCCATGCGCAGTGCTTTTTTTCTAAAAAAAAAAAAAAAGGTGCCAGAACTCACACAGGTCATACAACCCACCTTGCCTACCCTACAAGGTTCCATCCAAAAAAGGTGCCGGAACTCCATTCTGGGTGTTCTATGAGAAAAAAAAAGCCCTGGCCATGCGTCTTGTTAATAAACATTATTTCAAGCACAACTTTCACTGGTTTAGACTTCTTCAGTGTTTGGCTGATTCATTTTTTCAATTTCAGTAATGTTCAGGCCTTTTTAATAGCTTTGTTTATGTCACTTTTTCTCTTTCTTCCTATTTCTTCTTTTCCAGAACACTTGCTTGTTTACAATTGATGAGCATGCAGCTCATCAGAATCAAGAGCTTCGAGTACAAGGAATGATAAGTCTAGTAAAATCTGCTGAAGAAAAGGTGAGCTTTTCTTGGCATTCCTTAATTTATAAGCTGGAGCCTGATGTATAAAACTGGTCAGCTGCTTATGCATTTCCCTACCATGCAGGCCCATGCATGCTCTCTCTCTCTCTCTCTCTCTCTCATCATTAGCGTGTACAGGAAAACGGGAAAATATTTCAAACTGGGGAACATGCCCTCAGAAATCTCACTTCAATTTTTGTTACTTGTTTGCTGTTTTGCACTATTAGGTAAATATAATCTATGGATTGTTATCTTTGGTGTATTAATCCTTACATAAAAAGTATGTGTATTAGGAATTAATGCTTAGTTGTAAAGGGTAGATTTGGTGGATTGATATTTAGCTGTACAGTAGAATATAGTGTATCGAAAAGAAGAGTTGCATAAAATTGGCAAAATAATAAAATGGATACATTAAAAATCCTTTCTTTAATAAATATGCTAGTAATTGGGTTGCATGGCAGAATCCAATCTAAACAAATTACATGATTTAACTGATGATACATGTTTTTGAGCTGTTTGCAGATAATAGTTTTCAGCTTACTGTTTTTTCACATAGAAAAAGTAGGCCAAGAATACTGGAAGCATATTAGTATGGTATACCAATGTCTCATAAAAAGCAGAGATAACTATTCAATTTTTCTGACATCAAATCATTATTTTCCTGCAAAATGAAAGCATAGTTATGAATAAAGAGAATATAAGGGGCATTATTGAGTAAATACAGAAGTATAATCTAATCCTATGTAAATAAGAGTAGGGCAAGATCAGTTGGCAAACAAACCTTTATATTTGTATGCTTCTTTATGTAAAATGTTTTACTTTCCCTGGATTGTAGCACACCTTAAGCAAAGTTCATATTGCTTTGATTACATTATTAAATACATATTTTTCTATCTAGAATTGGGCATGCATTTATGTTAATAATTGATTTTTAAAAATCATCACAGACTACAAATCAAAAGGGTGATAATTATTGCTACATTTCACCCTCCTAGTGATACCCCTAGTTAGCTCTCTCTGAGTCTTTACAAATAAGCAAAATGTTAAAAATCACTTAAATGTGTTAACAGATTTTTTTTCCTGATAATCAGAAACGTAGACTAAACATGAAGTTAGGAATATGGGGCAGGATTTGAAAATTAGGGAAGAATATGTAGACTTACTCTGTTTTGAAAACAACATTATGTCAGCTTTTTATTTGGTCTGTACTGACTGTTTTCCTAAAACAATAATAAAGTTTCAAGATCAAAGAAGGCTGTATTCTTCCTCCCCCCCCCTTCCCTTCTTTAACATCCAGATACCCCCAAAACTTGTTCAGTATTACTGTGCATGAAAGGTTGGTTTCTTGCAATTGGTTACTGTACTTGTAAATTGCTTATGGAAGGACATGGCTTTAGAACTGGCAGCGCAATCAACAGTCACTCCTTTGTCAGTCATCAGTAGCTTTACTTAGCTTTCTATGGGAAATTACAATTTCTCTCCTACAAAGCTGATTCCTACTTGAGCAGCAATTGGCAGCAGCAGTCAATTATGTTCTGACTTAAATCATTTCTAATAGCAGCAGACTAACTCAAGTTTCTGATTAAAGTCCAAAAGGGTTATGAGGATAAAGGTAAGCAAGAAAATCGTTTATCTGATTAGCGTACAAAGGTATGTTTTTAAGGCACTTAGTCTGGTATGAGCTATATTCAACCTCTAAATTTTCATAGTTATTTCTGGCTCTTTTCCCAAGCTTGTTTTTGCAATTTTTTAAACCTCAACGTGTTTAAGTGTGTGGCAGTCTTTACTTCATAATACTCTTGTTCTAAGCTTTATAAGGTAGGTTAATCAATTTATACGGCTAAAATACAATACCGCATACAAGTTGCAAAAGTACAGATAACCATTACATGCTAATTCTTTGCTGTCATCTAGTGGTAGTCCAGATTTTTGAGCAGCTTAGAAATTAAAGTGATTCAGACAACCTTACTGTCAGGAATGTACCTTTATCAGTTGGAGGTGAATGCAGAGGAAGAAAGAAATTGACAGCATTGAAGGAGAAATAAAACTTTCATGATTGTCCTGGTATTTAAGAAGAATTATAGGTTTTATTCCATTTAGGCTCTCATCTTTCAGGTTGTACCTAATTATTAGGACCAAGGAACACTTCAAGGCTGAATACTTTGTACTTACCTAAATAGGTTTCCAGCCTTCAGCAAAAAAAGAAAAGAGAAAGTGTGTATATGTAATTTTTAAGTGAAGAGCAGCCTAAAAGGAAATATTGTAAATTTGTCTAAAATAAAATTTGATGTTTTAGGTCCCCCCCTCCCTCCTCTGTCTCTGTCTCTGTCTCTGTCTCTGTCTCTCTCTCTCTCTTCTCTCTCTCTCTCTCTCTCTCTCTCTTTCTCTTGGTACTACAGTGATAAAAAAGAGAGCTTTTGGTTCACTAGCTCATCTATTTTGTTTTCTGTTCATCATACTGCATTTAAAATTGTGTATTGTAAGCTATTTTGGAAAGCATTATGAGTTATTCTAATTGAAATGGGTTTTGTTTTTAGTTTTGTCTTGGCAAACAAATAGTAATGGAGCTTAAATTTGAAACATGGCAAGAACAAACAATATAATCAAATAAATGTTTAATTTGTATGATAACCAAGATATATATATTTCTATACATTTTATTGCATATGTAATAGAAAAAAACATTCTTAGTAGCCGATTTGCATAGAAGTATGCAGATACTTGTGAAAGTTCAAACAAAAGTTTGATTGCATTGGTAATCCAACTGCTAAATAGGAATTTGATTCTGAAATCTATATAGTACTAAAACACTAATCTTCATGGCCTTTAGCTGGACAAAATAGCCCATCATAGGGCAACAATTTTCGGACCAAGGTATTCAAATGGGTTACTTACAGAATGCACCCAAAATCTAAAACCCATGACTCTTGAAGGAATGAAATTTGGGGAAATCATGGCTGCTTCAGGGATAGAGGCTGGTGCTGTGGTCATGTGCTCATTTTTAGTATTTTGTGACTATTTCTCAGTCAGTCTCGCAATCCTTCCCTCCCTCACCCTGCAGTAGTCTCTCACCTATCTGCAGGAAAGAGAAGGAAAGAAAGGAAGAAAGGAACAGGAGGAAGGAAACTCACATACTCTTGCTGGCCCGTGTACCCCTTGAACAACTTCCCGAATGCCCTCTGCAGGTCTTTCCCGACCTACGCAGCACCTCCTGCGTATGCTCATGTACCTTCCCAGATCAGTGTTGTCTCCCATGCACTTTCCCTGACCCATGCAGCACTATTATGCACTCACACACACCCTTCCCAACCTGTGCCCCTCTTGCATGCCTTCCTGATCCATGAGGCACACCTTCAGGCTCACACATCTTCCTGATCCAGGCTGCCCTCCCTGAACACCATCCCCAACCAGCATGGCACCTCTTGTGCACTAACAAGCAATTCAATGCATCTTCCCAGATCCTGCCATCTCTACCAGCACAGGACCTCACACATACCCCTGCCACCCCCTTGGATTGTTCTTGACCCATTCCACCCCCTGTATACCCTACCTGACCCATGCAGCACCTTTTACACACCCGTGTAACCTCCTCTGCACCCTTTTTGATCTGTGGCACCCCCTCACACACCCCTATGAAACCTACACAGCACTTCTTTTTTTAAAAAAATATATTTTATTGGTTTTATAGTTTTATCAAAAAGTGTTTAAGACACACCGTGGTGTTTGGATAAACAAAGATAAAATCACACAATTACAGCTCAACTTAATACATTCGCTATCATCTCTCTATTTCCCTCAAGTAACACAGCAAATTTAATATATTTCATTTCTATCCTAAATTTCTATTACTACTAAACTTGTTTATTAAAACTTTAAATCAATTTCAATTACCATAATCAGATAGTGTTTTACATCAACATATTATCACTTCAAATACCTCTTGCAAATATATTCAAGTTCTTAATCCCTCTCATCCCTTTTTTATCACCAATCTTATTTATTTCTTCTTCCAATAATAACTAGTTTAGTTAAAAAAAACAATATTATCATATCAAATCGTATTAATATACACAAACATCTCTTAAGTAATTAAACATTACACATGTATATAGTTATAGTTTTCTTACTTCTAAATCTAAATCATTATCCTTAATTTTTCAGCCAATAAGTCCATTTTTGTTACTTATAGTAGTCTTTGACTTAATTCATTGCCATTCATTAAAGAAACCAAATTACATCCAATTAATTATTATACCATATCAAGACGTATTATTATACACAAAAATCTCCTAATTAATTAAGCATTTCAAAATTTCAATCTATTATTCCAAGGAATGTATTCTTAGTCTCTGTAAAGCCAAGTTTCTTTTTTCACTCCACATTTAACTTTCATATTTCCATATTAAATTTCCATAAAACAAAAAAGTCATCAAACTAAATTAAACACACATAAATATAATTGTAGACTTCTTACTTCTAAATCTAAATCATTATCCTTAAAACAATCCATAGAACCAACATTGCCTTTTAATCCATTAAACAGTTTTTTACTAATTTAAACACGCATGTATATAATTGCATTTTTCCATTCTAGATCATTAGCCTTAAAACAATCCATGAAATCAACATTGCCTTTTACTCCATTAAAGATTTTTAAATTTGTTTTTCAATCTTATTCTGGGTTTCTTTCTATACCACACAGGCTTCTATAAAAATGCTTCCCTTTCAACCAATAAGTCCATTCTCAATGCTTGTAATAATCTTTGAGCAAATGTACATCCCTTTCTCTGCAGTAAACGTCTTTTTTCTCTTTCAACCAATAGATCAGTTCTTATTGCTTGTAGTAGTCTTTGAGAAAGTATAAATCTCTTCCTCTGCAGTAAACGTCTTTTTCTGTTCTCTTTGCAATATAGTTGCTTTGTATTTTGAAGTCTTAATCTTTGCTTCTTCTGGTTCTCTAAGTTGCTGAAGAGGGGATTGTCAGATGAAATAAGTTCCACTTCTATCTCTGTAGATTCCTCTTCTGGTACATTTTGATTTATGACATGATCAGTTGTAACCTGGACATCAGCTTGAGCAAATGTAGTAGAGTCTCTGGATCTTAATTAAGTACAGTTTTTAAATGTAGCACAAATTTCTGCAGTGGCCTCATAGATCTTTTCCAATATAAGTGCACAGTTCAGTTATATCTGAGGTTTCTCCATTTTAATACTCTTAAAAGGAAATCTCTTTTTCTTTTTTTGTAGAGGCTTTGTTTAATGTAAAAACATCCACCCCCACAGCATCACAGGTGCACAGCTTATCTTTAATGTTTGAAGTTCATAAAAAAAGTAAGCAAAGTTACAATATTAAATTTTCGCCACTAGATGTCCTCAGTGAGTTAGGAAAGTCTTTTCCAAAAATCAATTCTTTTTTTCTATCTTTTAAGATATAATATGTGTATATATATATATATATATATATATATATATATATATATATATATATATATATATATATATAGTAGAAATAATAATGTTCTTAAAAATAAAGGAGACAGGAAACCTTTTCCTTCTTTTTTTTTCCTTTTTCATGTCCAATTTATAGCCTTTCAGTGTTTATAAAATGCCTTTCTTCCCCCCCCCCCCCCAAAAGCAGAAGCCGCATTTCCAAGCCAGGGAAATAATTTCAAAAGCTCTTTACAGGCACACAATCAAAGAAAAAAGCGGAATAGAGAGAAAAATAAGAAAAAATTCTCACCCGGATTCACCATGGGGGCACTAAAAGCTTAGATGTTTTCTGACTTACGGTCTGAAGCGGCAGGGCGATCGGCCATTTTCATGGCCGATCTTCTTCTCTGTCAGCCCTCAGAGATTCGTCCGGACAGCTGGATGAGCTACCGCTCCTCTGTAGCTGAACTGCAGCCTCCTCGACAGAAGTCGCACCCTCCAGGGCAACTTTGGACCTGTATAAGGGTCCACTGACGAAGGGAAACCTAGTTAACGAGGAGAGGAGTCTCTCCGTACGACTAGTGACGCCGCGAACCGGAACCGGAAGTCCTACACAGCACTTCTTGTGCACCTCCAGGCAGGCTTTCTGCCCTACAACGTCCACCTTCATACCTCCCTGGCCTGCCTGATATCTCTGGTGCATACCCACCCATCTTTCTCAACTCGTATGGTACCTCTTGCATGCCCCCACATACCATTCCTGACCCACACCCCCATGCCTCCCTTTGCTTCCTCTCACCCAGTAGTTGTTTACCTGCCTTGGACCTTAGACTTGCATCTTCCTGCTGGCCTCCCCACTGACTTTCTCTCTGCAGCCTTACTACAAAGTAAATGGGGAACTCAGTAGAAAGTCAGAGTCACTCCCACTCCCTATTTGCTGACTTTGAGTAATTCTGTTTCTCTGTTTAGGTAAGGAAATCACTCTGAAACATTGACCCAAGAGGGCAGGGGTTGTCTAGTTCAGGGGTAGGCAACCTCAGCTCTTTTATGACTCATGGACTTTAACTCCCAGAATTCCTGAGTCAGCTATGCTGACTCAGGAATTCTGGAAGTTGAAGTCCATGAGTCATAAAGGAACTGAGGTTGCCTACCCCTGGTCTAGTTGGCATGAAATTAACCAAGGACTCGCTCCTTCGTGGGTTACTTTGCTTTGTTACACAAATTTAACAAACAGTAAATTATTTACAAAGTGCTGCCTGAATAATAGTACAAATGTTTATGTGTCAAAAACCAGAGAGTCATACTTGTCCATATTTGAAGCAAAAATGATATCAAATGGTTAATATCTATCAGTAGACAAACTTGTTCTTAAAAAAGAAGATACCTTGAGACCGAGAAGCAGAAGTACTGATTGAGATTACAGCAGTCCCAATATTAGCACTTTCAAAGGTTGGGGGGGGAGGGCTTTCTTCCAGGCTCCCCGATAAGCCAAAAAGTATCTTTTGGTCAGAGAAAACTTAAAGTACCTTTAAGCAGAAGCAGATAAAAATGATAGGATTTTTCTCTGATTGCTTGATCGTCCTCGATTAAACCTTAAATTCCTAAATAATAAGTAGAATATGTGTACCTTTTAAGAGAAGAATAAACACCCTGATCTGTTAAATTTGGAACAAAACCAGATATATCTGTACTAAATATAGGGTCCTGTACAGTGGTGGGATTCAAATATGTGAACAACTGGTTCTCTGTGTGAATGCCACTTCCAGAAGTCCATTCTTGGCCTGGGCAACCAAAAAATTAGCTACCGGTTCTGCCAAAGTGGTGCAAACCAGCTGAATCCCACCACTGGTCCTGTAGTGTTGGAATGGAATGTACAGATGTTGGGTTGGGGAAAGGGCAGTTCAAGCTAAAATTTAAGTATACCTGTATCCAATATAATTAAGTATCCCTAACAGAGAGAGTATCCATGTGGTTGAATTTATGGGGAAAATTTTAGGAGGAAGAAAGTAAAAAAAAAAAAAGCAACCTTCTTTCTTAATGTAGCAGTGATATCACTTTCATATCCAAAACCTAAATATGTAGACAGAATCTAAATTTAGATATCTTAGACAAGGAACATGAAAAATAATAGCCTCATCCTTACCAGCCTTTCCATTGAACTCCTCCACATACAACTGAAAAGTTTCTGTTTTAAACTGTTTGGAGCCCAAGTGGGAAAATTTCCTTGGAAGGCTGGGAATGCTTCAGTTCTGTTACATTGTTACTCAATCCTCTGCCAATATTACTCAAATGATATTAATCTTCTTGAGATACCAACATCCATGCAGTTACTTTATTTCTTCAGTTTATCATATTGATGCAGCTATGTACAAAGTTTTTTGAGAGCGCTCTGGATAACAAAGCTTGAAAAATGATCTTACAACATTTCACTACAAGTTCCTGCTTGCTCATTTTAGTTTGGCTATAAAATAATAGCAATAGAATTACATCAATGAGCTTTGTTTCCCACAGACAACATTATATACAAGCTTAATTGACCTAAGAGGCAAAAAAACAACCTACTTTTCTGGACAAATGCAACTGCCAAGAATTGAATTCTGATGTCAAAAAATGGCAATCACTTTAGCATTCAAATAAATGCTCAGGATGTTTTTTCTATAAACATAGCTGATAATAAAACTATATTTTATTATTTTAGGTGGTTTCCTGTAATGTAATTGGAAATTCCTTCCATTTTCTTGTCAGTGTCTCCCAAGCGCCACCTCTTACTGGAGAATGTCAGTCTTACAGTGTAAAACTATTTCCACTTCATTTGCAGGTAATGTTTTGAATTTAAATTAACAAAACTTGCAGTAAGACATCTTACCTATGTATTAATTCATTTAGTCCTCTTGCACATTCTTGTAAGTCAAGGTACATAACTTCTTCTGGTAGAGGACATATCTACTCTTTATGTGATTTGTTGGGGGGACACTCCTTAAAAATAGTATGGTCTGGATGAAAACTAAATTTGATCTAATATTCTTTATATTTACATTGAATTAATATAGTTGATATTTTTACAAATTAATGATCTACTAGTAATTTTCACCTTATTTTTATTAAAAATTACTATTTTAAACAAATTTTGAAGGGTTTGTTCAATATTGTTGTCAGCCATAGACATAGCTATTTCTTCTTTCCATATATTGTTCTCTTAATTTACTGCATTATGGTCCAATTTGGCTACTGTATTGAAAACCTACATGGAATCTCCTTATAATTCTGCTCTGTAGTTAAGGAAACTACATTTAATTGTAGTTTCCTGTTTGACCCAAACAAGGAAATATATTTAATGTCTTTTAAACAAATCAATAGAAGCCAAATTTAAACGACAACTTCATATTATGATTTATTTAGAGACAAGTTTACCAATTTGGATATAATGGGAGTATATGTTTAACTAGCTTCTGGTTTGTTTTATTGCTTGTATCAAGAGAAGAGTGAAGCAGTTGTAATATATGTGGGCATTGATAGCTGGTGCTTCGAACCAGAAAACTCTATTTAAATTTAGAATTTCTAGTCAATACTATAGATAGAAACAAAAACTTAAAATCTGCATATTTGATTGAGTACTTCATTTATAGTTAGTGTAGGACAAACTGATCAGTGGATGCTTGGCATTTACATTTTAAATTTGTTAAATTCTAATGCATACCCATCAGAAATTATGTCAAAATGCTAAGCACTTACTAATCAGTTTGTCCTATACCAATTATGGGGTTTGTAGCTTTCCCAGTCTGGGGCTGGGAAAGAGATGCTAGGATCAAACTCCCAGAATTTTGAGTCACCAACCAAAGATTGTCCAGCTAGCGTGATCAATTATGAAAACTGAGGACTAATTGATCCCAAAGGTGGTTATAGTTCACTGAACTGTGCATGTACTAGATAGCATTTTGATTACAGAGAGTGAACATCCATAACTAGGATAATCAATCTGCTGTTCTTCAAGAATTTTAAACTACAACTTGCATAATTGTTTACTATTGCCAAGTTGCCTGGAATTGCTGGGAATTGAGGCCCAAAGTCTTTGCAGGGAGTGTGTGTATATGTGTTTACATCAGATTTCTATCTGAATTTATATACCCAACATAATTTAAAAATTTCAAACAAGAAAGATTCTGTACCTCATGCTGAACTGCAATTTATATAAAACTGCAACTGGCATTAACACCTGCTTAATTTTGCAAAATAGAAATAACAATCCTTAATAAACTATCATTATCAACAGCTAAAACTTTCAGCAAAATCCAAAGAGGAAGACATCCAGATCAGGTGGTCATTCATCTACTCCTCTGAAACAAATATTGAAGTCAAACCTACTAATGTGAAAAAAGTAAGTATGTTGTCATTTTCTTATATGTAACTATAGCAGATTTAAATATATAATTCTAAACATTTCCTTATCCCTTCTCTAAATCACTAGCCCTTTGATTCTACAATCCAAAGGACTGGCTTCTAAGTAAATATAATTAGGAGCAAGGTTTCTGGCATACTATGTGTGTAATGTGACAGCCTTTTGAAAGGATGACAATTACAGGTGGCTGTAAGTTTTGCAAGAGTAATTATATGCTGCTACTTCTAAAAACAATTGCAATAATAGTCTATAAAGCCTCTTAGTATTTGCCACTGGGATAGACAACAACAGCAAACTTCGGTATACATAACTACTTTACTACTATTTCCTTGGAAATTACTATTTTCACTGTATATAACAGCTGGATTTTTACACAGGATTTTTAAAGCTATATTGATGGTAACAAGAAAGGCTGTTTTTTTTTTCTCTCCAGTTGTTTATTGGACAGAATTCAAAATATTGCTGGAGGTCTCTATTGCTGGAGGGAGGCTTTAACAGATTCTCCCTTTAAAAAAAAAAAGTCATTCTTAAGGTTCAAATGCTTTGTGCTTCCTAAGCACTAACTATGATTTATGAATTGAAGATAATTACTGTATACCCTGTTGAACATTCAGGAATTAAAAAAAGACAGGGCCATGAAAGACCTATAAAATTGGCTATTTATTCATAAATTGTATTTATGAATAAAAATCAGTAGTTCTACATAGTGGGCATCCCACTCCTCCATTCAATGAAATTACAACTCCCTGAATTCACAGTGGGAGGGGGCACCAACTTGTGAAAAGCTGCTATAGATGGATATAGATGGCACAATGCCACAGAGTGAATGGAATAGCATTTATATGGACACTGATAATGCTGAAATGTGTTCTATTGACTTTATTGAGACAATATTCTGTAATTAAATTTCCTGATTAAATATTTATAATTCATGCCTAAACTTTGCATTAAAAATTCACCTTTGTTAAAAAACAAAGCAAGAAAATTTTACATAGTGTAAATTAAATGTCAGCAGGTAATTTCAATCTTGGTGAGCTCTGTGAATTGGCACTTTTAAAAAAGTTATAAGGAGCCCTCTAAAACTAGTCAGGCAGTGAGTGTTCATTGAATTTTGGTTAATGTACATTACTTATCTTCGGAGCTGACTTTTGAAAAATTACTGGATTAATTGAATGCAACTGACAATATTTACTCAAAGCACTCTTTAAAATTAGTGTCATGAAGCCAGTCAACTCATTAGCCTCTTTCTCCTAATGATCCCCATCAAAAGAACTGATTCTCTCTTTTCCCTGCAGCCACGTTTCATTTCCTCCAAAAGTGAGGCATGTCTTTTCTGTCTGTCTGTCTAATTAATGTAGTTTTAACCAATTGTTGGCCAAGTGTGGGCTGAAGATACTCCTGAGCTTTTCAGATATGCTTTGTTTATTGTTCTCGATGAAAAATATAATGGAAAGGAAAAGTACAGTTGGGTGTAATCTAATCTATATATTAGTGACCATTCAACATCTCAGTAACCTTCCCAATATTCAGATATAAAATAAATACTCTGAGGAACCAAATTTGATGGCTCTTGTAGAAGACCCATGAAGCAATACCAGAGGCAATTGCCTGGATAGCTAGATTAGACATCCACTTATGAGGCCACTGCCGTAAAAGTTTTGTGTATAATTACATGGATTATGTGCATATATTTACTTCTCTTTGTCATGTTTTCATGATATGCTAAATAAATAATAAGTGTTTAATCGTTTGCAATTTGATGTTTTGCTGTCTGGCTTTCATAACTATTATGTTTGATGCATTGTCACTGAGATGCGTTAGCATTTTCCATTTTGCCTGCTTATATCTTCTATATCATGGTCTTCATTTCTCCATGATGCACAAATTAGATAAAGTACATGAAGTGATCTCACATCTGTATACATTTGTCTACCTCTACATGTACTATTTATTTTAATCTGAGCTCATTCTTCTTCAAGTATTGGAGGGTAAAATGATTTCGCAATGTAGAATTTGTAGAGTAGATGATGCTGTATTTTGAATCAATGAGCCAAGCAGCATGCTGAATACAATCTTGAAAGTTTTCTCCTATATGCTCGTCAAAGTTTTAAAAGCGATGCCACCGTTTTTCTCTTTGTAGGATGAGACTCTTGGGACATGCACTGTATTAGAAACATTTAAAAGTGTGTTGCAGAATCTCATCAGTTGTACATCACCTGTTATGATTCTGAGTACAAGATCTACTGATATAAAAGGAACACAGGTATAGTTTTATTTAAATTAATGGATTTGCTCATTGCTGCTTTGGCTCCTTTTTCATACTTCCTGTTGAAAGATTTTCATAATTTAATACCTCAGCTGAGTCTACATAAATGATTCATGTGCCTATACAATGCTTGTTGATGTTGAGATTTAATGTATGAGAACAGCATTATTTATTGCACATTTATCTCTAATGAAGCTATTTATTTTTTGCTTCCTATTGACAGAATGTAGGGGCCATTCCTCAGGGTGCTAGTCCTCCTAAGCCTCCAAGGGCTCATGAACTAAAACTGCTCATGAAAAACATCAAAGTAACACTCACCAATCATAATATTGCAGGTATAATAATTTATACTTTGTTCTCCCTGTACCCTCCTGAATTGTATAATATATATTCTGGTTTAATTGCAATCAGTAGATTAAAGTAGATTCTATAAACAAGGAAAAGGAGGCATTTTAATCAGGAATGCATAGCATTATTGACTGGTTTTAATTTCTGTTCTCTATCCTGTTTCAAGTATCAAGAATTTTTATAAATATTTTTTTTTCTATGTCGGCACCTGATATGTATCCTTTTTTTGGCCTTTGTGGGAAATATTTCATAACATCTTTGCAGAATTCAAATTCATACCCAGAGGTCTGTTGTTTCAGGAATTTGAGCTTGCTCTTTACAATATTGTATGGCCCAGTTTCCATTGAGAAGTGATGGATAATGCACACCCAGAGATCTCTATACTTTAATATTGTAAATTAGAACATGCAAAATGTTTGGAATGCAAAGCACCCTATTTCAAGTGCAAAATGCCTCTGGCTCAAATATGAATCCACTGTTTTGAGTCTAAAATGGACCATTTCAAACATTTCATTCAAAACAGGGTAATTTGTATTTGAATCAGTTGGCTGTGAATTTCTTATTATAAAGAATTTAATATCATTGCAAATCAAGTGCAAAGATTTTTTTTAAGCAGTTCTTAATGTTTATAGAAGGGGGAATAGGAAAGAGTTCAAGGCCATCTACATATTCTTATATGAGATAAACTTTTCATATTCTTTCTTTTAGAATTGGCATGTGCTAACAAGTATAATGTACAAATCTGCAATAATATCTTTGCTATACTCTTCTAATCTTTATATATTGAGGCTTCTTAATTTATATGAACACTTGTTGATCTCTCTGTGAGCGATGGCCTTTTGTGATTGTAATAGGACTACAGGCATAAAGAATGTACAGAGTTAAATTGGTGAGACAGTTCTGCTAGCCAAATACTATCTTGAACATACCTCACAAGAGTCAAACATTCAGACAGCTCATAATATCATTATCATCAGCCATTCAGTCATGTCTGACCCTCGGCCCCTGTATGAATCAGCATTCCCCATGCCCCTGTCTCGCATTACCTCCTTCAGATCCATCATAGTCATCCCAATGTCATCTTTTGTAGTGTCCAGCCAGCAGGTACTAGGGCAACCTTTTCTCCCTTTTCTGCTGATGATTCCCAGCATGACTGGCTTTTCGAGTGACTTAGCTCTCATGACATGACCAAAATACGACAGCCTCTGTTTGGCAATCTTGACTTCAAATGATATTGTTGGTGAGGTTCAGTGTAGGATGCCTTTGCTACCTTTGCAGTCCGTGGGATACCTAATTGTTGCCTCCAGCACCACAGTCCAAAGGTGCCCATCTTTCTCCAATCTGCCTTTTTTAGAGTTCAGGTTTCACAGACATAAGCAGCAGTTGGAAAAATTATTGCATTACCTGCATTTGGTTCTGAGGTTTTACTCTTCCAAATGTTATTCATGCCAAACATTGCAATTCTTCCAAGTGCTATATGCTATAACATCAAGTGGTCAAACTTCAAGTACTAAGTCATGCAATATGTGTTTAAAGGGGTGAGTACATAACTTGTCCATCAGGTTTTGTAAGCCTTTACGAGCCTGTGCTTGCATACTTCCTTCAGGGAATTCAGGGAAGATGAGCATTAAGGAAGACAAGTAGTCTACCCACATTGCTTCTACATTCTTTACTGTGTTTTCCTCCTGCTTTCTAAATTTTGGTCCTGTTTTGATTGAATTAATCTTTGAACTAGATTTTGGTTGGTTTAAAATGTGGTTTGGCTATTTTTTTCTTAATGAAGGTGTGCATGACTGGCTAATAATGGCTTTGACTTCTTAAATAATTTTATAATAATAATAATAAAGTTGGAAGGTACCTTGGAGGTCATCTAGTCCAACCCCCTGCTCAGGCAGGAAACCCTACACCATTTCAGACAAATGGCTGTCCAGTCTCTTCTTAAAAACTTCCAGTGTTGGAGCATTCATTGCTTCTGGAGGCAGGTTGTTCCACTGGTTAATTGTTCTAACTGTTAGGAAGTTTCTCCTTAGTTCTAGGTTGCTTCTCTCCTTGATTAGTTTCCATCTGTTGCTTCTTGTCCTGCCTTATTGAGTTTTTTTTTCTCAGTCCATTTTTTTTGTCATAAAAGAATAAATCACTCTTTTGCACATAAGAGACATCTCAAGCTTTCGATATCTCCACCAGTTTACTTCTATTTGGTCATCACACAGATAGTAAACACTGCAGTATTTATGTGTTGGTACATGTTTACATTCATTATTTAAAATCTTCCAAGCACAGCAGAAGTTCTTATATGGATAAGAACTTACATTCCATTAACCCACTAATTTGAAATGCATAAAGCCATTTTTTTATGTAGCTGCACATCAAGTAAGAAAGTCTTGTTTTATTTAAGTTTATTTTTTTTCTATTTCCCTTATTACAGGTATCATTAACCCCATCTGTGTAGTTCAACTCAATGACCCTTTGCAGAAATGTTGTACCTCTTTTGCCAATTATCCCATGGACCTTTCTTGGAAAGAGGAATTTATTTTGTAAGTACTCCTTGTAATACTTTTACAAGTGTGGTAGAAAACAATTCCCTAATTTTTTTTTATCCTCCTAATAGGAAAAATCTTATTAGTTTTCTGAGGCTGAAAGCCTATATACGGTAGTACATAGCATAGCATGAAGAATAAGGGGTATGATCGCATCCTTATTTTTGATTCTTCTGGAATGTCAGTTATACACCCAGATCACACACTGGCAAATATTGTAGCATGGGGACAGGGCAGGATTTTACATTTCTTTTGTTGTATGCTGTTTGAATCTTTGACCATTTCTTGGTCTAATTTGCTGCTGCTGTCTGGAATCTATATTGAATTTTGGGATGGGATAGAATAATAGCTGTAAGTGTGCACGGGATGGGGGTGGGTGGCACAGTTCTGTGCTGGTTTGGCTCCTTTCTTCATGGCAGGTCCCAATCAGTATTGATAGGGAGTGAGAGGTTCAACCCTCAGGTGCTATTTTGTGGTGTATCACTCCTTTTCAACATCTACATGAAACCACTGGGTGAGATTATCCGTCACCAAGGGTTGAGGTATCTATTGACATCCAACTCTATATTGCCACTTTTGGTGACCCAAGTGATGCTGTGGCCACCATCTTGCAGCGCCTGGAGGCTGTGGGGGCCTGGATGGGAGACAATAGACTTCAACTGAAGACTGAATGGCTTTGGGTATGTGGGGCTCCGGGATCCAGAACTTTGTCATCTTTGAGTCTGGATGGGTGGCACTGCCCCAGAAAGACCCAATCTGCAACTTGGGGATTCTCCTGGACTCGTGATTCCTGTTTGAGGAACAGGTGGCAGTCACAGCTAGGACAGCCTTTGCACAACTTCATGTTATGCACCAGTTGCGGCCTTTCCTGGATCAGGATTCCCTACACTCAGTCGTTCAATTTCTAGTCATCGGCTGAACTGTTGTAATGTGCTCTACATGGGGCTACTCTGGAAGAGCATTCAGAAGCTACAGTTGGTACTTTTCAGGGCCCCAAAATGACCCCTCTAACACTACTGCTCCGCGAGCTGCATTGGTTGCCAGTCTGTTTCCAGGTGCAATTGAAGGTGTTGGTGATCACCTTTAAAGCCCTTCATGGCATGGCCCCAGGTTACTTGAGGGACTGTCTCACTCCACTGGGAGTGGTCCGTACCACTTGTGCTGGCAGAGGAGGCCTGCTGCAGGTCCTATCAGCCCAATTATTCTGGCTGGTGGGGTCCAGGATGAGGGTCTTCTCTGCTGTTGCTCCTGCCCTCTGAAAGATCTTGCCCTCTGATGTAAGGTTGACCCCAACCCCAATCTTTTCATAAGGGCCTAAAGACATGGCTGTGCAGTCGCTTGGGGCCCAAGTGCGGGAAGAGCGCAATGGAGGTGGTTGATTAATAACAGATCACACCTCCCCCCCACTCCATGCCCACCCTCCCCATGTTTCCTTGGTTTTAATGTCCTTCTATGTTTTTAACTGTATATGTAACTGTAAGCCTCCCAGAGTTACCCTATGGTAAGATGGGCAGCCTATAAATTTTATAAATAAATAAATAATAAATTATGGCTGAATTTTAGATGGACAGAATATGCTCTTTGTTTCTATATACTCCTGTTTGACTGAAGTCTTTTTCAATAGTTCACATCAGTGCAATCCTATGCAAACCTACTCAGAAGTAAGTTCTACTGAGTTCAGTGATTCCTATTACTGGAGGAGTGGGAATATGATTGCAGATTCCAACCACAGAAATAGAAACAGCTGAATACAAAGCTACACCTTCTTTATAGTTAACTTAATTTAAATACTACAAATTAAACATTGATAAACTTACTGAATTAGTGAAATGATGCTAGCATTGAGTTCCAGTACTTCAGTAAGTTTATTGATGATTAATTGTTAATAAAGCTGAATGCTTTGTTAACTAAACGTTTTCTTTGTTCGCAGTGAATTAAATGCCAAATCAAAAGAGCTGCAAATCAACATTGTGGAAAATGGGGAATTGGATGGTAAGTATTGTAGAGACCTATTCTTTCCAAAGAGGTGCTTTAACTTATGTTCCGTGTTTGTAAAACTGAGGAGAATGCCCAGTGAGTGCAGCAGGAGAAACTGCTGAATACCATAGAAGCCCAGGTGTCATTTCTCCAGCCATTCTTTCCTCAGTGATCACTAAGCAAACAGTGAAACCCGAGATCTTGTTTAACTATCTAATGACTAACCCGTTTAGCTTCAGAAAAAAAAGGATCACCCAGCCATTAAGTACCACATGGTCACAACTATTTAGCAGATTTATATGGCTGCAAATCATAATAAGGTAACTCTGAGCAACTTACAAAAATATAATAAAAGCCACAAGGAAATACCAAATTAAAAATCAATGAGCCTTCTCTTGTGTGTGTGATTAACAGTAAAAAAGCAAAACACATATGCTGCCCTCTATTATTATCCTAGCCCTAATACCTGAGGAAAAGGCCTTCAAGGCTTTCCAGAAGGTCAACAGATTCAGGGCTGTCTGGATCTCGGGAAGGAGGCTATTCCATGGGACAAGCATAATGACAGAGAAGCATCCTTGGTCCTACTGTGGTGGTGTAGTGGTTAGAATGCAGCACTGCAGGCTAACACACTGCTCACTCCAGGAGTTCGATTCTGAATGGCTCAAGGTTGACTCAGCCTTCCATTCTTCCGAGGTCGGCTTAATGAGGACCCAAATTGTTGAGGGCAATATGCTGACTCTGTAACTTGCTTACAGAGGGCTGTAAAGCATTATGAAGCGGTATATAATAGCTATTGTTTCACAAAGCGGTCCTGACAGCTGAGGAGAAATGAACAAAAACCACTGGGGTAACTAGTAACCACTAGTAACTTGACTTTATGCAATGCAAGGCTTTAAAAATGACAAACAGAATCTTGAATTGCACCCAGAAGCCTATATAGAACATGGGCAAAGATGTATAACTAAACATGCTGTTGATTCTCTGCCAATAGATTCGTCGTCAATTGTTTCATATAGATGTTAAATTGGGAATTAGGCCTCAGGAACTTGCAAAATAGGATTAGGGCTGGTCCTCTCTGCCCCACCAGAACTGGAACCAATTTAAAAAAGGAGAACTATCATAAAACTGTGCTCTGCACTTCCAGCTTCCTAAGTCTGTTCAGAAGGATACCATACTCAATGATACTGAAGACTGTTGTGGGATCAAGAAGGCCTAGTACAGATCCACTGCCCCACCACAAGCCTGCAGACATTATCCATTAAGTGATCCTGATAATATGGCTTGATACCCAAATGAAAGTAATCCTGGAAATCTGTTTCTTTCGTGCTCCTTTGAAGCTGCAAAGCCTACCACCATTTCAATAATCTCTAAAAAGAAAAGATTAAAGATTGGACAAAAATTTTTCCGGTATTGTTGAATGGCCTCTTGAGGAGAAGATGAACCACCACTTTCTTTAAAAGAGGTGGGACATGTCTCCAAGGTGGCCTTAATCAATCAGGAGGGATATGGATCTAAACATAAATGGCAGGACTCAAGAGCCCCAATATCTACTTCCTGAGTGACTTCCTTATGAAGTCATAAATGGTACAGTAGAAATAGTAATTTCTTTTTTGCTTTACTTTCAAGATAATTATATTTTAATATAATATGTCCCAAAATATTTAAAGCTTGTTCTCATCATAATTTTCAGTACTGAAAATTTTAATAAATTGCTTCTGTTTTATTCAGGTAACTCTTCTGTTTCTGCTAGTGTTCCTTTGGATTTATTCAGGAAACAGCCTTCTGGACTGCAAAGTTTTGCATTAAACAGCCAATTCAGCAATAATAGCTCTGCAATAGGATCTGTCTCTGCAGAGGTACAAAGTTTAAAATTACCTGAATTTTCTTTTCTTGAATATATCCTGGCCCAACTCATTTGACTTATTATGCATACAGTGGTAAAATGTAGACCCAACAGTAAAGTTACCCCCATCTCAAGCCGATCAGAGGCCATCTTTTTGTACATGATATTTTTTTAAAAAAAAAGAGTGGGACTATGTTGACTCTTACAGGTTTTTGGAATTCCTTTTTCCCACAAAACAGAAGATATATGTTCAACTATCCTTATTTTAAGATGCCAAGTAAACTTCTCTTTCTTTAGTTCTTATACATGGAACCTTCAGAAGCAAAATCACTGCAGGTGCCTGCCAAGCTTCCTGTTGCAAAAGTAGAAAAGGATCGAACTGTGATGCCTTGTGGGACTGTGGTCACTACTGTAACTGCTGTGAAAGCCAAGACTTTAGTGGAAGGGAGATCATCTATTCTGCACTCAGGTGAGAATCCAAGAGGAAGTCTACCTTGCTCTAAGAACCTGACCTTTTAAGACAAATTTGTAAGATGAAAGACAGGATACAACTTGGATTGACTCATTACTTTTCAAACCTATTTGGCTGTGGAACGTTCTGGGACTGAAGATACTGAGAGATAACATGCATGCTAGTTCTTAAAAAAGAGGAATTTTTTTTAGAATGAAAAAAGTGATTAGATTACTTTATGTAATTTTAAAAATGTTCAACCTTTGAATCAATAAAAAATAGTTATGAACCTTAAATAGCCTTACATGTTACCTTGTAACAACCACTTTACTTATGCATATAAAAGAAGTGATTGATTACTTCTTTCTTTCTTTGCACAAAAGATTTTTAATGGGATCAGTGTTTTGGCTTCTGCGCTTGCTTCTTTCACACCATGAAAATCCTGTTTCACATAAATGCAGTGAACAAAAAGGAGGAATCATGTTTCTTTGTTTTGTGCACCTATTTGCATAGTCTTGCAAGTTAAATATTGGAAAAAATAGGCTTCAGATGATTAAGCAAAATCCAACATCATTCAGTTTCTTTGCTAATTCTGTTTGGGAGAGTTGCCCAACACCACAGGCAAATCTTCAAGGCACATGTAAGATTGCAGAAGAGAGAAAAATTTCCCTTCCTGCTTTATTAATGATTAACTATGCAGGTAAAATTATATTGCAGTAATAAATAAAATACAGGACTACAGTAGTAGCTAGTAGTAGTAATAAGCTAGTTATTACTTCTGATACATAAGTCTATTTTAAAGATGTTTAAAATCCGTTCCAAGCATGATAGTAAATTAACTATGCTGTACAAAACAAATAGATGTTACATGTTGTACTGTGAAAACAAAAATAAGAGTGAAAATTCTATGCTATGAGAAAGAATTACAAACAGTAACTCTGTGGTCTGACTGTCTTATAAATGGTTATCTGTCTCTTGAATTTCTAGACAGTATATGTTTGTATCCCAGAAAGCATAATTAAAAAAAACCCCTGAAATGAAGTAGGTGATAGATTGGAATCATACATTACAGTAGCAATAATTTGCTTAATTGTGGTTTGTTGAATGAACCACCATATGCACATCATGCTGTATATATTTCAATAAATGGATTCATACACTGCTTTAAGCTAAGTCAAAAGCAAACAATCAACAGTATGGCTTAGTATAGTAACTGATCAGTTCTATGTATTTAATATATTATCTATTTGCAAAAAGTGAATGTTTTGCTGGGTTTGTCTTTTGTAATGTATAAATGAAACAATAATCATGCTGTTTTATCTAGCAGTTTCACCAGTTCAAAGTCCTGCTAAACTGAAAAGGATTGAAAAGGATTTATCCATTCAAGCAATCCATTGTCAGAATGTTTCAGTAAGCAAGGCATTATCTTCCTCAGATACTGGTGAGTTTGTATTTTCTTTAGAGAGGCATGGGACAATCTTCAGACAGTGGGACTCTAATAAACTGAAACATTCAGCTTGCATGTGATGGTTTTTAGGGTCAGTTTTACAACTGATTTTGAATTGTAAGAAACTAGGTTAAGTTAGTCCCCCCCCCCAAAAAATGCCTGTTTGATACAATGACTTACTTCATACAGAATAATGATAAGCCTGATTTCCATGTCTGCCATACGTGCCAAGGTGAACAATAATACTTAAACTTAACAGAGGCATAGAAATTGAGCAATTTGAATTGGAAAGGAATATCTAGCTGCTCATTCTTGCTTTTATGAAGAAAACATGCTAAAAGTTCACTGCATTTTCTACCACATTATAATCTTCCACTAAGAGAGTTATAGTTATGATAATGCCATAGGAAATATGAAATATCAGTGGGCATCTTCTATGAAGTATTAAGAAAGTATTACTACTCCAGTCTGCTCCTTTGACAATAAAGAGATTCTGTGGGATTTCTCCTGAATTTATCATGTGCTAATTTTTTTCTTTTAAGCAGATTATGATATGTCATAAAGACAGGAATTTCTGCCTCTATTTCTAATTATTTCTTACATTTTTTGAGCTACTAACCACACTGAAATCAGGGAGTAATAATAAATGCATTGATTGTATCTATTCTTTTTTATCAGTGTTTTAAAAAAGGAAAAACTACAGAAAAACATGCATTCCATTTCAATGAGTGCTGCTTCTAATCACTGGTATTTAGTTACAAGAAACCAGTTGATAGAACCTGAAAAGCAAATCTGCCTCTGAAACACTTAGGACTAATTTGATATGAAGCTGTTTATCACATAACCTATACTATTCAAATAATGTATTTTGATTACATGTATACTTAAACTTTGAATTAAATATTGGTGAAATGCAAGCAAAATTTTCAGAACTGTTTCTTGAAATGCAAAGCAATGGAAAAATATTTGTTTAGTTTTTAAAGTATTGAATTTTAATTTATACAAAACAATACCTTTGTACTAAGGCATTTCTGCTTGATTCTGTATTGTGCACTTTATTTTTTTATCTAGTCATTTTTCTTATTTATGTATTTATTTTGGCAGAGTTACTGGTGTTGAATGGCACAGATCCTGTGGCTGAAGTAGCCATTCAACAGCTCAGTGAATCTGCAAAGCAAAAGTTCAAATCTCCCAGAAAAAAAAGCACCATCATAATATCAGGGATTTCAAAGGTACAAAATAATCATGACTGTTTTTTATTTAATGAATTCAAGATCAGGTATTTTTTCTACTAAAACTTCTTTTAAAAAAACTCCCCACTGAGTCTATATGCTATTTTGAAGTTGAATGTTTAGACTAAGACATGGTTTCCCAGAGAAGAAAAGACATTTCTTCTGAATACTGCAAGCGTCAGAAATATTACATTAATTGTTGCTAAAGTTTTTCATGTCATGCGGTAAAAACAAAAACAATAATTTGTGTTTCTCTGTATGATACTTAGGGTAAAAATCATAGTCATTAGACTCAGGTAGTGTATAAATGTAATGAGTTAATTAATTAAAATTTGTCTAGAAGTGAAGAGAAAGTATTTTTTTCAGGCCTGCACAAAACCAGCTTCTAATTTTGTTATTGAAATATGTGATGTAATACCCATGGCAGTTTGGTGACATTAAAGATACTCCCGGCAGTCATTGGCTACTACTGTCAAAAATATCCTGGCTTCTGAAAGAATAATGTCTCTAGTAGAATTAATGTCACAGAAGGAAATGATCACCTCATATACTTTGGATGCTTCTGGATTGAAAGGATTATCCAGCTATAAGCTGTTGCCTAGGGGACGCCCGAATATGTTAACAACATACATTCTTTGGGGAGGCTTCTTTCATGTCATATGTACAGTATACCTGCTCCTTGTGTCCTGACCAGTGTACACTTGAGGACCTCATGGCAGTGCAACAAAACGTAATATTGCTAGTTCCTATTTAATTTGTACATATTTTAATTTTGTATTTTATATTAAAAATTATGTTGTATAGTATGCCTTAATTTAATTGTGATGCTTCTGACACAAATAAACAAAGTAGAATTAGTTCAAACATACCAGGATTTTGTGCTGGATATGAAAGGATAATTTGGCCTTGGAAATTTTTCATAGGAGTAGCCACATAAGTTAGAAGAGATCCCAAGTTGTGCTACACTAAGACATGTAGAGCCCAAATATAGATATTTAAAAGACGAGAATGGGCAATGAATTCAGAAATGAGTGTGTATGACAAAAGATGTGGGGAAGAAGAAAAGGCCATTGAAGAAAGAGAGGAAATGGGTGGCTATAGCTGAGAACCAAAGGAGAAATGATCTTGGGCAAAATGTTAGGTAGGCCCTAGAGAGAAAAGGGTCACATGCTGCGGATGAGAAGAAAAAGAACAGGGAAAAATGCTTAAAGAGGCAAGAGCCAATTCCTAAGAGATGCTGTACCATTTGATGGTTTATACAAGAAGACCAAGAAATCAAGCAGATTTTAACCATTTCTATTTCATCCCCCAGTGACTAAAGATCTATGGGTGTGTATTTCCAAATAGGTTCCCTGCCCCATTATATATGATTTTATAAAAGAAATATTTGTATTAAATTTTACTTTAAAAGTCATTTTAAACAGTAGGAAGAACATAGGGAAAAATAAACATGGTTATGAAATTAAAGGAAGCCCACCTTTTATATCCACAGCATGTCCAAGTGTGTGTGGTGGAACATTGCCACAAATATCTAAGCATACCTAAAAATTATTTTTGATCCTAATTTTATTCCAAACCAATAATGTTCTGGCTGCGGTATTTGTTTTTCATATTTCAGACTAATTTATCTCAGGACAGCAAAACTGCACTCATGATGGGCTATGCAGCAGCCATGGATGGCTCCTGTAAACAAGATGATACTTTTAGTGTTGAAGGGTGTCTTGCACAATCCCCTTCAGATGAAAAAGTATCACTAGCTGCCTCTGAAACGATATCTGCCCTTGAAGAACCCCAGGAACACAGCCATGGTGCATGGACCTTAGATGACAGTCACCATCAATGGCACAACAATGCACTACTAGACCAAGACTGTGATAAGATATCAGGGAGCTCTGTAAGCATCTCAGAATCTGAAACTGTGAAGAAGTCCAAAGGTATGAACCTTTTCTCTTAAAGGGGTATCAATGGTATAGCCTTCTCCAGTTAGGCATTTTCTAAAACGGGGGTGGGGAATTGTGGCCCTTTTTTGATTTGTGGACTTCAGCCCCCAGAATTCCCAAGGCAGCTATGCTGGCTCAGGAATTCTGGGAGTTGAAGTCCAAAAGTCATAAAGGGGCCACAGTTCCCCACGTCTGTTCTAGGCATCTTTGGAATTCCAGTCCAAACCTTTTTAGAGTGCCAGAAGCTGCTCTAATCACTCTTGTGTTTAAAGGGAAGGCAATATTATTGAGCTTTGGGCACACTTAGAAAATGTATAGCATATCACTGGGTATGTGTATCTCCCATCGGGGTTGTGAATGGGGATTACAGTCCACATCAACCCTGACCAACATTTATGAAACAGAGGCAATCCAGTATAGTTATAGAGCACTCAATTGCCATAGTTTAGGGAACTTTAGTGTTTCGAATAAAGTTGATTTGTGAAGCTAACTATATATTTTCATTGTTGCAGGTAGAATATTAAAAAAGAGTGCAAAGTTATTTTTTCTCCGAAGACACCATAAAAAAGACCCAGGAATGAGCCAATCACATAATGATCTCTCCTACCTACAGCAACCCAGATCTGATGGTACTCAAAAGAAAGGAGGAACTTTAACACGAATTCTAAACAAGAAAACTATTTTTAAGAGCAAAACCAAACTAAATGGCTCATCAGTTGGACCACATGCATAAAGTCTAGAACCTGCCAAATTATGTTAGCTACACATGACCAATTGTTTACAGAAAAATGAACTACCATATACTTTATGAGATTTACTAGCAAGGTGATTCACAGAAGATAATAAAGCATAGTTAGGGAATAATTGGAGTTAGAACTATGGTTATTAAACTATAGAGAATAATTCATATTTATTTGGAAAATTAGTTAATTTAATTCAGTAGGCCTTAAGTCTAAAATATAATTTCTAAAAATCAGGTTTAAAATATGTTTTTGCTTGAAATTCAAGTATAGCTGAGAGTTACAATGAAAAACTATTGCATTAATACATATCTGTAGTTGTTGCATTTTTAAAGAGCCACAATGAAAATTTTAAATGAGCTATTGTGCCTGCAGGAAAATGGAAAAAAATAATAAATTGTGATAAGGGTTGATTGATTTAAGAAAACTGTAGGAGAGATCTATAGTAATCTATGAGATCCAAAAATCATATGGAGTCTGGGTTCACTTTTGCAGACTAACACATGTTATTAATATGCATAAGCTTTCATGAACTTTATGAAGGCTAATGAAATAAACTGCAGCTCATGAAAGTGTATACCTTTTAATGAAATCTGAAAACATGCTACCATATTCCTTCAGATTTATGATCTGGGAAATATTTTACTGTGCAGTTGTATGTTTGTGCACACATGTGTATATATATGCACTTGTGTGTATATGATAGGATTAATTCTTGTTGTATGCATTGGAACTTAATCCCAGATAAAAAATGCATAAAATTTCAGCCTTAACATGTTTCTAGAGAGAAAATAAAATATTGAATTGGGAAACCTGATACAGTTGTTGTTAAATAAATATAAAATGGTATTGCTTCTGATAGATGCTAGTAATACAAACTGGTAATTTATATAAATACTTATTAGGAATCTAATTTTTTTGTTCTGTTGGTATCCTTTTAGTCTCTAGGATAATGAGCCCACAGATTACTGAAGCTTACTTTTCTTACTTCTACAATACTTGGGAACAATATTGCCAATATTGCAGTGTGCCTTGGAAATCCTAAAATACAGTATATTAATACTTTAATAGCAGCATACAGACAGCCAGGGCTTTTTTTCTCATAGAATGCCCAGAATAGAGTTCCGGCACCTTTTTTGGATGGAACCTTGTAGGGTAGACAAGGCAGGTTGTATGACATGTGTGAGTTCCAGCACCTTTTTTTTTTTTTTTTTAGGAAAAAAGCACTGCTGACAGGTAACATTAGAACATTAGAGTGCAAACTTTTTCAGTTTCAACTATTATATTTCTGTTTTGACACAAATTGCTTATTTGAAAAAAATAAGGGGACGTGTTCCCCCTTTCTTTATATTCAATATTATAACTTGCTCATTTAAAAAACTGTATTTCTGTCTATCTTACCAAACATTACGTATTCTGACTTAGTGGGGATTTGTTGTGGAATATGTGGCTTGATTGTAGATCCTAGAATCAAGTTCTATATTGCATTTATTCAGGGTAAATCTGGTGCCAGTTCCATCACTGTGATTTAAATCAATAAATGAAGAGGATTCATAGAAATGAGGTTGTGCCTCCTGTGGATCAATGATTTGCATAAACTGCAGTAATGATGTTAAGAATACAGTCTGTTGAAGTCCAACATGCAAAAGAACATTACTGAAATGAAACAGCAATTTCTGGAAAGTTATGCAAATTCTAATTTTTGTAATGACAGCATATTATAAACTGACTGCTACGGGGTTATCTACATGAAATACTTTATTTTCACAGTAAGTGCAGGTTATCCTTGCTTAACAACCCTAACTGGGACCAGAATTTCCATTCAGTGTCATCATGACTTCAAACAGTCACTGAATAAATGATTGTTAAGCAAGGACTACCTATGCTATGATTATCTTAGACACATATCTTTGGATGTAAACTTGCTTCCATGTATCTGGAGTTAGAATCAGTTTGCATGACATTCCGTCTTGTCTTTTTAAAAAATTGTATAGCTTTATGTTGGCACAGGACTTGCTCTGTAACTCTTACAAATACTTGAACGCATTTAAAACTGTTATTTGAATGACTCAAAACTATGTTGCTGGATTTTAAAGAAAAGTACCAAAGGTATGTCACGTGGTTTGTGATTTTTATCTTAATTGCTATAATAGAAATGAGTAGGAATAGCACTTAGACTTATATACTGTTTTATAGTGCTTTACAGCAGTCTCCAAACGGTTTACAGAGTCAGCATAGTGCCCCCAACAATCTGGGTCCCCATTTTACTGACCTCGGATCCTTACCAATCTTGAGCCAGTGAGGATCAGACTCCTGGCAGTGAGCTGAATTAGCCTGCATTCTAACCATTGCGCCACCACGGCTCTAGTAGCATCCTGATACTGCAGTGGAGTGACATACTGACCAACATTACTTCTGTTCAAAGCAAAATGATTATATAAGGAATATACAAGTTGATTTATGAAATTTAAAATATAGTTAAAATGTAAATCATTGGAAATATCTTGCTCATATTCTTCTGAAATTAATTGAATATTTATGCCCTATTTCAATAGACAAGGGAAGCTTTGCAAAACCTCTGATTTTTGTCTTTTATCATTTGATAATATGTGGGGTTTCCTAAAAAGGAATTCCTAAAAAAGAAATAATATTGTTGTCTTCCTTTTTTAACATTAGCTTGCCCAAATATGCCCAACACAGATATTGCAATTATTAATTAGTAGTAACATCCAGAGAAACTGAATGCTTTTCAAGATTACTTCAGACAGTAGGTAGGTGTAAGACGCTAAGAAAAAGACACAGGCATGTCTCGAGCAGAGGTTTGAAGCTGCAGGACACAGCTTGACAAACTCTGAGTTTATTGCTTCTTATATACTTGTTATATACATAGGCTTTACCATTAAATGCTGACATTTTACATTCATAAGTTTAACCATTAGATGCTGACATAAAGTTTCTTCATTGGAAAATTCCTTCATATAAGCAACTATTTTCTAGTAACACATTACCTGGTCAAAGACCAGATAAGAACAAATACAGGGAAATAAAAGCAGAAGGAACTAACAAAGACAGGAAGAGATAGGAAGGAACTTAAGCATATTATCTGTTTAGGTAGCTGAGGCATTAAGTCAAAAGGGTATGACCTTCTGGCTGCTTCACTGGGACAAAGGGTATCAGGTATCAAAAGGTTATGAGGGTTGTGGAGGGGAAAGCATGGCAGTTTGCTGCACATGCATTTTTCCCCACATCTCACTCTTCTCTATTTTATTAGTGAGGACATTATAACTTTGCATTTGTTTATACAAAACATAACTTGTTCCTGAGGTAAGTTAATGTAGTTTAGTATGGAAAATTGAAAGTAGAGAAAAAAAGACATTGAATAACCATATATGTGCATAATTAAAGGATACCTCTTGAAAGGAGGTACAATTTAAAATTCTTTGACTGACATGTATACAATGAAGTTTTTTAGGTGAAGTAGTACAGTTGACAATTTTTGCACAAGTAAGATTTGTAGGCACAGCTACAATTGGTATATGCAAAACAATAGCATCAAAGGATAGCATATAAGAGACAGGACCCCAGTTTGACATAGTTGCATAATGAAATTCATTGTCTGATAGAAAATTGCTTAAACCAGTATAATTTTTTTAAAACTGAAGCTGGAACACACAAAAGTATAAGACAGGTAGAGAGTAGATTTTCCATATCATATGATTCAGAAAGACAAAAGTCTGTCACTTGTGTGACATTAGCTAATTGCACCCAAATATTATATTTCATCCGTGATTCTAAAGGATGAGGTGGAAGAGCTTGAGCCCCCACACAACAATTAAGAAGGAAAGAGAGGCAAAGAATGACTAAGGAATTTGCAGTCAAAACCACAAATATGGCAGCGCATAAATTCTCTTGTGTAGGTTCTTTTCCCTGTTGCCGCAAAACCATCTGTGCTTTGGATGTTAGGTTTTTCACATCGCCTTAGGTTGTTGGTCAACTGCGATGGTGAGAGAGAAAGGGATATTGTGCTGTGTGAAGAGTCACCTGCTTCATTTCCAGTATTGGGTTCTGGACTTGATGCCATGACATCTTTGGCTGGTCGCACACACTGGGCTGGAATCCAGAGAGGGCCTGTAGGAGCAAGCACAGCAGCATAGCCTTGCCCTCAAGTTAGTAAGGGAATTGGACCTAACCAGGTTTTATCAGGCAATTGCCGATAACATACTTTCTGATGAAAGTGACGCTGGTAGGCAGTAGTTTTTTGAAAAGAAATATTTAGCTGATTTAAAGTTATTAGGATTTGACCAGTTATCCATGCCAAATTAGGTACCCTTGATCCCTCCTTTTTTATTTGTTTGTGAAGGCAGTCCTTAAAGGACTGATACAAATGTGACAAACAAAGGATAGCTGCAGTAAAGTTAAAAACAAAGCCATAGGATTGGGGTTGATCCTGGGCATGATGTAAGCACCTGGAAAATTAAAAATAAGTTGGCACACATAATGAGAATCTGAGATTAAGTTAAAAGTCTGTTGAGAAAAGGTGTGGAAAGCTAAAATAGCAGCAGATAATTCTGAGCGTTGTGATGAGAATTGCACTGCAGTGTAGGCAGATGATATGAAATACAGCCTATATAGTCAGCACTGAAAAGATAAGTTATTCTGAAAATAAAATTGAAAATCAAATTTGGGATAGGAAGGACAATATTAATTAAATCAGTCCCATTTCAAGGGCAAGCTCGATTGTGTCCTAAGGTTATTATTTCAGCAACATCCTGGATAAAAGATAAAACATTTTGGGATGGGATAAGTAAAGCCATTCAATACAATATACTTTTTGCACTTCTAATACAGCTAATACTCCTGTAAGTAGCTTACTAGTAAGAAATATCAAAAGTGTTAAGTGACAATTCTTATGTGGAATTCTGTCCACAAATTGAGCACTCAAGTACTTAATTTGCTCAACTGTGGTAAATGCTGCAAGTGGAACTACAATGAGATCTCCAGGTTCTTTTCCTTTGGTCAATAAATCAAATTCCAAGTTAATCAAATACCATTCAGATGGAAACAAATTTCCATTAAGTAGGTTAAACATTTACAAATTTTAAACGAAACAATTCAGAGTCATTTCTTTTGGCTGATAGATATATAGGTCTAACTAAACAATTTAAACTCAACAATTCCCCCCCCCCCCAAAAAAAATTGTCCAACAATTACTGTCTCCTCTTTCAAGTAAAACTTTGTAATCTGAAACTGCAAGACTGGGCATTAAATTTCATCTTCATTCGCAAACCGGAATTCTAAGCAGAGAGGAAAAAAAGTTTAAAATGAACAGTTCCCACCCTTCTTTCTGTCTCTCTTGCTCTTAAAGCAACACAGCCAGTTGAAAAACAAAAGAGACAGGAAAATTTTTTGTTACAAACTTCTCACCACTAAAAAATAGTTTTCTCTCCTTCACATGCATTTTCCATAAATTCTTTCACACATTCTCCATGGGACTCTTCTCATGCAAACACTTACTATTGCTTTTCAATTTACTTTTACAACAATAAAATCTGCAGTTTATTATTTCTTTCACAGCTTGGGAGAGAGTGTATGGGGGGTGGGGTTTGAGGGCTAACACACACACTTAGGTATCAACAAATTAATTCATTCATTTTCATTCTAACTGCTTGTATAAACAAGTCCACATACAAATATTTCATTTCATACTTTCTCCAGGCAAACTATTTATTTTTAAATAAGGCCTTTTTGTGTGATGTTATCAGAGAGGGTTTTGACCCTCTTCCAAGTCTTGAAAATAACACAGAACACAGACAAACATATATACACAAATACATAAAGAAAACGCACATCAATTTGGGGTTTGAGGCTAAAACAGGCCTCCCCTTTTAATTAAAAAGGAGGGAAACATTTATGGTTACTTCCAATTTATCCCAGCAACTTCAAAAGACATTGGGGAAAGACTAAAAGGAATATTGAAGGTGTGAAGGGTGAGGGAAAAGTAGCAGCCTCCTCTCCTCACCTCTGACAAAGGGGAATTGAATAGAGCTAGATTAAAAGGGGGAAAGGGGAAGAAAAAAAACTTGCTTTCAGTTCTTTGAATTTTCTTTTCTTTTTCTTCCGTGGCTTTAGTTGTTATCAGATAAACTAGCCAACCAGAGGCTTACAAAGTTTTTCAATGTTGTCTTGTTAAATATTATTTATACTTCTACACATCAACACAAAGCACTACCAGACATTGTTTGATAGGGTTAAACTTAACAGCTACTTGAAGTTTCAAAAATCCCAATTGTTCAAAACACATTGCAGAGGAGTACATTTTAATTTGTTTCTTTAAATTTCTCTTGACAATTCCCCATATATATTTTTTCTAGTTTAAGATTGTTCCTCTAATATTTTCCTTATGTGGGTGTATGATGGCTATAAGGAGGCAAAAGAATTAGCCTCTTCAGAAGGAGCTGAAAATCCAATTAAAGATGCTTTCGGAGGCACAGTTTTTACTTGATCCTAATCAGGTGTGGGGCTTGTAGTTAATTGTTGCCCTGCTAAAGCATCTGAGCCAAATTTTCCCACTGCTTGATGGCACTGATGCCATTGATGTAATACCTGTACTAGAGCCCGAGATTCAAGATGTAAAGTATGCCCTATCTTTTCCCCATCTTGTAACCTAAGCGTCCAGCGCTTAGGATATCAAGGGGAATGTATCCCTACCTCATCCACCAGCTTCCTTATGTCTGCCTCAGGCGCTTTCACACCTGATTTGTGTAACAGGAATCGGAGTTCCTGTACATGTTTCTGCTGGTGCTGAGATAGATCCTATGGGACCCACTGCGGGGTCCCATAGGATGAAAGTGCACTTAGGGGTCTATTCCAGACGCTGGTAAGTATGTTGTCTGTTGCTCCCTCGGAAGGGGGGACTGTCCTAGTTGCTCCAGGGGGGGGGCTGTCCCTGTTCGGGCGCCAGATGTAAGACGCTAAGAAAAAGACACAGGCATGTCTTGAGCAGAGGTTTGAAGCTGCAGGACACAGCTTGACAAACTCTGAGTTTATTGTTTCTTATATACTTGTTACATACATAGGCTTTACCATTAAATGCTGATATTTTACATTCAAAAGGTTAACCATTAGATGCTGACATAAAGTTTCTTCATTGGAAAATTCCTTCATATAAGCAACTATTTTCTAGTAACACATTACCTGGTCAAAGACCAGGTAAGAACAAATACATGGAAATAAAAGCAGAAGGAACTAACGAAGACAGGAAGAGATAGGAAGGAACTTAAGCATATTATCTGTTTAGGTAGCTGAGGCATTAAGTCAAAAGGGTATGACCTTCTGGCTGCTTCACTGGGACAAAGGGTATCAAAAGGTTATGAGGTTTGTGGGGGGGGAAGCACAGCAGTTTGCTGCGCATGCATTTTTCCCCACAGGTAGAGTAGATGACATTTCAAGTTGGTTTTATGGAAGAAAATGAAGGACTTTTTTATGGCACTCAGAAAAGCAAAATGCAGTTTTCTTCTTTCCATTTGTCTCCTGTTTAGGCTTTTGAATGCTTTTATGAGATTTATATGGATGAAAACCATAGCATAGGCACCCAGGAATAGAGTCAGATGTTTAAATTTTTCTAACTTTACACATGGGGACTATCCTAATTAAAGACATAAAATAGAATATTAATCACACTGTATATTAGCAATTAGCAATTATTATTGGTAAACTATTTTTTCATGTAGCATAAAATCAACTTATAGTATTACCTCTTTTCTCTCATATAAGAACTATGATGATATTATTATGGTCTGATTTCAAATATTGGATAAGCCTACAATTGTGAGATGCAGCTGTAGTTGCTGAATTCATGCACTGAGTTGAATTCAAGTTCTAGATTAAGAATAAGAAATCAGATTCTTAATTATGATTATTAACCTTAGAATTTCAACTCATGATGCAAAGAAACATTATGCTTAGAATTTAAAATGTTTTATTTTACTGAATCAAAACCTGACTACAAAATCCTAACTCCTCCATTTTAATTGTATAAGCTGAGGTCATTTCATTGCAGTTATTAAAAAAGAAAACTATACTGTGTGATGTATCAGTATATTCCAATCTACTTTTCATCCTATTATTGTAAACCTCTGTATTCCTTTAGAAGTAGGATTTTTATTTTGTCAAAAGTCAACCTGATATTCTTGACTGATTGTATTTCATGCAAAACTGAGAAAGGGGAAGATTCACACAACCTTCAGTTTATACTGAAATGTGCATCAACTATCTAACCTTGAAGGAAACATCAAGAAGATTTTTTTTTATCTCTAGTACAATACAGGTAGTCCTTACTTACCAACCACTCACTCAGTGATCATTCAAAGTTGGGACGGTGCTGAAGGACTGGCACTTTTAACTAGGGTCAACTTTTGGCCATTGCAAAACCCTTGCAATGATTTGGGTGATTGGCAATTGGTTTCACTTATACTATTTACAACCTTCCCTGCCAGCTTCCCACAAGCAAAGGCAATGGGGAAGCCAGCAGGGAAGGTCGCATGTAGCTTTAATAAATCCCAATGGACTTCTTGCACTCACTCTGCACCATCCTTCGCTTGGGCCTCCTGTGTTCATGTGCAGCCTCCATCAGGCCTCTCAAGCCTTCCCCCAATCTCCCCCACCTCACCCTGGCCTATGCCGGTCCCCCCAGGACCTCCTTGCAATATCTCTCATCTTCATGAAACATCCTCATGACACTTCCCACACTCCTTACTTGAGACTATATCATTTAGCAATAGCAATCCTAGTCCCAATTGCTGTCATAACCTGATGACTGTCTGTATAAGGCAAAGGAGGGAAAATCAAGTTGCCGAGTTGGAGGTATTAAATTACAAAGACCATATCAGAACTGTTGGAGGAAAGATCCTTCCACGCACAAATACATATAAAATTCTACCAGGCATAAGCCATCAAACTACTGTACTATATGGGCCAGTACATGAGCACAGTTCAGAAGGGCATTGGGAACAACACCAGAGACTCAAAATGCCAGTTGCTCACAAACAGAGTAGTTGCCCAAGACTCAAGGGCTAGACAGATCAATTTGTGCATAGTCTGGATTGACTACAGGAAAGCTTACGACTCAATGCCACACTCACAGATCTGCGAATGCCTAGAAGTATAGAAAGTCAACAGGATACTAACAGCCTTCCTCAAAAGCTCAATGTGACTGTTGAAGACAACACTGGAAGTCAACTCAATATAGGTCACACAAGTAGCTATTATGTGCAGCATATACCACAGTGATGCACTATCCCCATTGCTGTTCTACATAGGCTTGAATCCCCTCTACCAGATAATCACAAGGACTAGATATGGATACAGATTCGAGAGTGATACTACCATCAGCCACTTCTTGTACATGGTTGACATCAAGCTGCATGCTAAAACTCATTGTTCCACCTGACATGGGACTACAGTGAGGACATCAGAATGTCATTCAGACTAAAGAGGTGTGGGCAGATGGTAGTCAACAGGAAGACACAGACCACCTATAAATGTGAAAAGGGAATGTAGAGATAGAGATAGATAATGGAAACTGTTATTTACTTGCACATGCACAATCTAGGAAAACAATTGGAAAAAAATCAATTACTTTCTTTTACTAATATAGAAATGCTGAAGATGAAACATTATTTTCTCTCTCTTCTGTGGAAGAATAGATTCCCTCACTCCATTCAAAAGAAAATGAACTCCACCTACTCCCCAGGCTATCCACATCCCTATTTTATGCAAATAGTCACCAACGTATCTGTAAAAATAGAATAAGTGGTTTAGCTTAAGGACTGGGTAGGGGCCCCAATTGGCAGGGCTTAGCTGGGAATGACAGGAGTTCTTATCTAGTGCATTAGCAGGCCCAAGTTGGAAAAGATTGCAGTGACATCTCTTCCAGCAATTTTCCTGTTACAGCAACAGACAAGTTTGAAAGTTTTTGTGAAGAGAGAATTATTAGGCTGCAACAACTATGCAGCAGCAACCAACTATGCAGTTAACATTATCCTCTTGGGATGTTCCTACATCAAAGCATACTCAGTCAGCCAAGTCAGCCTATTCAAAGATAGTCCAGGGTTCTTCCTCATGACTGCATTCATTCCTCCAGGACCTGAGTTGGCAGAAAAATTTGCCAGCATAATTTGATCTGCTCTGATGGGCATGCTGTAATCTGCCTCAGCAATGCGGTTTCTGGATGGTCCTCTCTATACAGTTTTGCTGAGGGACACTAATTGGTAGATTTTCCTGGCTTTATTTCTAGTGTCATCAGCAAGTGTGTTTTTGCAAGGGGGGGGGGAAATTGCTCTTCTTAAGGCATGTAACTTTAAAGTCATAAGTCATATAAATGTTCCATTATCATCAACCCAGTTTTTTTAATATAGATATGAATATAGTTTTTGACACATGAATGGAGCAGAGAATAAGCTGGGGTGAAGCAGGAGAAAACTGACAGGACACATCTTGAGAGCTATCTCTCATTTCATCCTAGCCTGATCTTCTACCCTATCACCCTCTCAGTTGGGCTATCTTTGGATAATGTTGGTCTTTCTTGGGCTGGCAGGGTAACCGGAAGAACTATTGACAGTTTCAACCCAGATCCCAAATGTACTAGATTGGTAAGCCCTGCTGGAAAGTAATGGTGCTGATAATCAATGGCCAGTTAGCAGCACCTAGAAAATAGCCCATATAATATGTAAAATGGTGTTGTGCTTTCCAAAGTAATAAAGACAATGCAAAACACAGACATGCAAAATTCTTCATTGAAAGAATTTTATTTTAGACCAGCGGTTCTCAACCTGTGGGTCGCAACCCCATTTGGGGTTGAACGACCATTTTACGGGGGTCGCCAAACAACGCGATCCACCATATTTTTCTCTTAGGGGGCGGCGGCACGTCCTTATGACCGGGGTCGCCGTATAAAAAGGTTGAGAACCACTGTTTTAGACAAAACCACCAACAGAGCTCTCTCTGGCTCAAATTCAACTACAGGTCCTTTCTTAAATATTTTTTTTGATAGAAGGGCCTAAGGTAGAAGTGCAGGTCAAATATTATGGGCCAAATGCTTCTAAAGAATCCAGATGTTTCTCCTACAGAGTCCAAGTTGGAATGGACATGGAGAATGTACCTCAGTGACCAGAGGCCAAGTCCCCCCCAGTAGCCTCAACTGGCCAAATATCAGCTCCTGACCATCAATAAGAATGAGATGCACTGTAGTTGTTTGTTTGTACATCAAGGCTTGTGTCAGAATAAAATAAAAAAGTCTGCTTTAAAATGGAAACAGCTATAAACAAATTAAATCTGCCTCCATAATGGACTGGGGATAAAAAGCTGTCTCACTGAGGACCTGTCCTCTAAAAAAAGTGGTCAACAGTGATGAAAATAAGCCTTCAGTCTGGAAATCAGGTAATAATAATGATGGCGATGATGATGATGATGGCGATAATGATGATGATGATAATAATGATAATAACAATAATAATAATATAGAGTTGGAAGGGACCTTGGAGGTCTTCTAGTCCAACCCCCTGCTCAGGCAGGAAATGGTTGTCCAGTCTCTTCTTAAAAACTTCCATTGTTGGAGCATTCACAACTTCTGGAGGCAGCTTGTTCATTGATTAATTGTTCTGTCAGGAAATTTCTCCTTAGTTATTGCTCCATGTTCATATTGAGACACTATGAAATAACAGTTTTATTTTCTTTATTTATTCAATTTATATCCTAATTACAGAAATGGAACTGAAAGCTATACTTACAGCTCCATTCTGAATGCCACTCAAGACATATTCTTGTATTTTAAAATCAAGTCTCCAGTGACAGTTAACATTCGTTGATAACTTGAAGGAACTGTATTAACCATACTAGCTTTATCATATTCGTCCGCTTGATCAAAAGTTGGAGGTAATCAGGTTTTATTCATTCTACTGCTTTTAGGTACGGCAATCCACTTCTATCACTAAGACTGTGCCTTCGTATTCTGTTAATGCCAGAATTTATCCCGGACTTCGATATAGAATGGTTATAATCGAACCAGTACTTTAATGCCCACACAGCAGCTACTAAGGTAGTCATTCGCCCCTTTCCTTTCTTGGCTGATAATTGTCAACTTTTCCGTCCATTCCGTTCGAGCAACCCAACTTTATTCCATCCCGAACTACAATTCCCATGATGCTTTGCGACGTCACACGTTAGCTTCCGGTGGCGCGTGACTTCCGGCTCGGATCGGAACCTGGAGTCCGGACTCGATCCGGGTATCAACATTCCAAAAACAGGTAATGCCAAGCCCCCGCTTTGATCCGCGTCTCTCTCTTACTCTCAGGAACTGTTCCTTGCCCCGTGCGCTAGACCCAGTGCCGGTGAGCCCTTTTTCACCTGTAGATTTTCCCACGGCGGCGCGGCGTGGCTCCTTCTGCGCCCGTGCTGCCTCCTGCTCTTCCCTCCCCTCCGTCCCGCTCGCGTCCTCCACGCCGCCTGTTCTTTGTTACAGGCAGGAGTCGCCAGCGGCCGCGCGCACTGTGAAAGGGTGAGGTGGGTCCGAGGCAAAACCCGGCGGAGCCGCTCCCGGATCCCCAGCCCGGCCCGATCCAGGCAAGCCACTGCCTCCCTGCGCGGAGGTGACGGGCTTGCCTGCTCCTGCTGCTGCTTCTGCCGCTGCCGCCGCCCTGGGCTGTCGAAGCTCCTCCGCTCATCCTCCCCTTTCTTTTTCCCCTAATTCCGCGCCAGAACCGGGTGGGATACCTTGAGAGCGAGAATGAGGCACAAAACAAGCCGTCAGGCGAGCGGCGGTGGGATGGGCCTTTGTGGGTACCACTCGCCAGCCTAGTAAGGGCAAGGGGTTTGGCGTCTGCAGAGGGAGGAGGAGGAGGGAGCCGCCTCGGATCTTTCCTTTCCTCCTTCCTTCGGCCGGGCTTGAGACTCGAATCATCGGCGAAGAAAAAAGCCAGGCGCTCTCTAGTCTGGCTGGGTCGGGCACAACGTTTGTTCTCTCGTAGGCATGGGGTCTCTGGCTAGGGCAGTATAAGAACAGTACCGCACCACATCTGGAATGCAGCGCTTCAACTGCTGCAAAACTCACCTGTTCGATTCTGCGACAGCCTGTTCCACAATCCACGAAGGGCTTTTTCTTAGCGATCGGACGGAAGGGATCACCTCTTTGACCCTTTTACGCATAAATTTATTCTCCAACTTCATATGAAGGAATTTGATCGAGCGAACATTTCTCATTCTTTTAAGTGCAGTATGCAAAGTAACTCCAAGCGCCTATTGCATGGATAAGCAAAACCATGGAAAGAATACTTGGAACCTTAAGCAAAGCACATATTTTTACCATTTTTGCACTCTTATGTTTGCAGAGTAAGAAGTGGAATACTGTATTGATCACTAGCGACTTGATAATTCTTAAGGTGTGGTTAATATTAAACATAATTTGAAACCATATTTTGCATCTATTCTTCCACAGTAGTAACATTTCTTCCTCTATAATGGAGTTAGTGATTACAGATTTATTAGGGAGAGTGATATATGGAGAAATAGTGTCGGAATGGCAAGTTCTGTCTACAGTGTTCAATGGAATATCTAAATATATGTGTACTGTATAGAATTCCACACTTAATCACCATTAAACCTCACTGATTGTGTTTCATAATTAAAATAATGAAAGATCAGAAGTGGACTATGTTTTATGCTATTTGCTTTAATTTAGGGCCATATTTCACTGTTTACTGACAAAACTTAATAAATATGCTGTGTTACATGTACTTTGGAAGAATCAGAAGAATGGCATTTGGACAGGGACACTTTTAATTATAGTTATATGATGTTTTAGCAGAATGTATGCTTTCATTTCAGACTGTTATTTTTAAGTGTTTTCTGTCTGGATTTGCAGTGACATATTTTCATCTTAAAATGTATAAGATAATATCCTATAGTTTCTAGAATTTTTCCTATAGTTCATTTTATTGCAGCACTAATTCTATCTCATCTCTAAAGTAATAATTGTCTGCTAAAATCTCACATAATTACTATTCTGTAAATGAATTAAATTAGAACTTAGAACTAAATTTGTTAACTGATTTACTTCCAGGTAAGTGAGTATAGTTTTAATTTTCTTTCTCCCATTCAGTTGCACTGATACATTCCATCTACTGTACTCTTGGTATTGGTTATAAATAGGACGACATTTTTATCACCGAAGAAATGTTGTCAAAAGTATATTGCATTTTTCTTCAATATGTATGGATTACACAATTTTAGTAACTCTCTCTGGAGCCAGTAGGGGTCAGTTGTGTCACATTCATACCAGCAACCAAGGATTCTTTACATTTTAAAGGAATTGTTCAGGCTTGAAATTAAGGCAACCTTAAATACTGGAAGAGAGTACTGTAAGACATGAAGTGGATTTGGGGCAGGAATCAATTCAAGTATGAATTCATATATTACTCTGTCATCTCCCACCCACATTTCATCTTATTTTTAATGTAAATAAATCAAAAATCTGTTGACTGGGCAAATAGTTTTATAGTATATGTTTATATTTTAAATTTTGCATTGTTTAGAGTTGGTATTAAATGGTTCGTTCAGATGGCCATCCTTTTCCTCAATACTCACTTATGACATAATGATACGACTCTTCTCATTGAGTTTCTTAAATTTATTAGATTTTTATCTCACGTAGCCTGAAGAATAATATACCACTGAACAGATTAGTGCAGATATGAACTATTTTTACCAACTGATGTTATTTCTTCAGTTAGTGTCACTATTCATATATATTGTTTTTAAATGACAGCATTGCAGTGACTATCATTATTTTTAGAGCGAATTGGAATTTGGCCTTTGGTCTCTTAAAATAGTATTTTAAAAGGTAAAAGAACCATTTTATTAATAGGGACGTAAGGGTTTAGGATTTTTACAGAAATCCCGCATCTCAGTGTAAAATATATTAATCTTGTTTTTGTTATTTTGTTGGTGTGTGACTTTGTAAGATTGATTAATAGTTTCTTTCCCCTCCATTCTCACAATTTCTGCTATGAAATAAGCAGAGTAATTTTGATCCCTTGCTTATCTATCTTCCAAAGCTTATAGCAGAGTAAGAATTAAGGAGGCTTGTTTTGAAACTACAGTTCAACATTCTTTTTGCAATTCTACTGGTTGAAGCCTCTGATACAGTTACCTCTACATTGGAGTCTAAGATTTAGTCCTGAGTATTCACGTATCATGGTTTTATGCCACTCAGAGAGTGTTCATCTGACTATAAAACTAACTTTTAAAACTGTAAGAACTAAATAAGTTCTCATAGCTCTCACTCTCCATGTCCTTTCTTCAGTGAAAGCACATCATGATTGCCAAAAGCTAGCAAAGATGTAGTAATATAAAACAGTAAGGGAATATAGCTGTCATCCTAATATTGATAAGCAAGCTCCGCTGAATTGAGTGATTTTTTTTTCAATTGAGATTTGTATAGGATTGCACTATGAAAATTCTAAAAATCAAGCAATATAACCATACGTATGTTTTTAAAGAAAAAATGGCTTAGAGTTAGATTCATAATACTATAAAACATGCCTGGGAATCAACCCTACTGAAATAATAGAATCCTGTAGAGATGTACAGTTTAAAAGAAAAAGAAAAATCATATATACGATGCACTGGAAGGAAGGTAATATTCTCTGTTTTAGAATTAGATCCTAAGTGCTTAAATCTCATACAATCAATGTTCTTTTGTCAGGGATTAAAAATGGCTTCTGTTTTATTGAATTGTTACTGGTGGATACAATTTTTCCTCCAGCTAAATAGATTCTTAATGTCTCATCCATCCAAACTAAATCTTTCTGCAGGAATGGTAGGAGGTAGTGTATTTTTGTAGCTCATACAAAGATTCAGGAAAGAGATTTACTGTCCCATTGTGTGACTATATTATGTAACTCATCTAATAATAATTCTACAATCAAATTCAGGGAATAAAGGTGAGTAAAATTTAAGTGCTACAGCAAAAATAAAGAATTTTACATCCAAAAGCTCCTATGCAGTATACAGAATTGTCTGTTAGCAACTGTAATATTATTTTGACAAAGAGCAAAATGTCTTTATGTTGGTTTAAAGATAAGACTTTGGAGCAAAATGAGCTAACTTCAGAGGCCAGCTCTATCAGATAATTTACCAATTTTGTAAATTTTCATGCCATCGAGTTAGTGGTAACTCTTAGTGACCATTCAGACAGATTTTCTCCACAGACTGTCCCTATGTCAGCGTTTCAGGTCTTGAAAAGATGTACCCATTGCCACTGTGACAGTCCATTCACCTTGCTGTTGGTTTTCCTATTTGCTTCTGCTTTTTCCAACATTAAAACTTTCTCTGGAGAATTAAGTCTTATGCAATGATCCATTTCTTTCAGCCTTGGTTTTAGTAAACTAGTGTGAAATAGTTGAATAGTATTTAATACCATTTAATATATCCATTGGCCATACAGGCAACGGGAAACACTTCTATTGTCAATTCCTGTTAATAATCTAGAACAGTGTTTCTCCAAACTGTTATTTGGATTGCAAAGAATATCCTTTGCAATCCATAGTTTAGCTCCATTGAAATACGTGCTCCCTTTGCACAGTTGTATTGTTTGAAAAGTGTGGTATGTTTAAGATATGGATTAGGAGTTGGAGACACATGTTGCAGTCCACTCTCCGCTACAGAAGTTCACTGGGCAATATTGAGCAAGTCACTCTTTGTCAACCCAATCTATCTCATAGATGCTGTTGTGTGGTGTACTGTGTATACTGCTTTGAGCTCTTGTTCTAAAGGTGGTATATAAATTTAATAAACAAGAAACAGTTTGTTAATAAGTTTGTTATGATTTATTTCTTTCCTTCTCTTATTTTCTGCGGGATCTTGGTGCTCTCTGAACCTAGTTGTTTTCTTAGTGCTAATAGCACTGATGCAGTTACCTAGTTTGGATAATGAAACAGCTACAAGAAAACATGCAAGCTCAGAGAGCACCAAGGTCCCCTCATTTCAATCCGGAGTTACAAATATTCGCCTTTATTTTTATTTTCTGCATTAAATCATTTTTCTTCATATTAGTTTTTTTAAAATTAATGTACATTTTATGTTTGTTAAAGGGCTGGATTATATACTTTGAATTGACCTGCACTGTAAAATAATGTTTTTTTTGACAGGATGCAAATTTCTACCTATCTGGTGATTTCATCACTTTTAGCCACTTGTCTGTTAAATAAATGATTCTGGGTTTTTTTGGTCACTTTAGGGATAGGTGTGGGTCAGGGAGTATCCTTTTGTTGCAACAGAGATAGATGTTACACCCTAGGCTTTGTTTTACACAGTATTGCGAAATATATTGCTTTCATTTTTTTAAAAAAATAACATGGTTTTAAATATGATGAAATGTGGTTTTGGAAATATTCTTGAAAGTTTATGGGGCACAGAGGATGTGTTTTTCAGCCAGGTTCTCTGTTGTGATTTTTCCCTATGCAAGAGTATATTTCTCAGGAGAGTTACCAAATGTTACTACTTTTTCCAAAGTGAAAAGATGCTTCTCTAAACCTCTCTAAAGGTTTTTCATGTGAACCTTTTTTTTTTACTACTCTTACAGCAGTGTTTCTCAACCTTGACAATTTTAAGGTATGTGGACTTCAATTCTCAGAATTCCACAGCCAGCAATTGCTGGCTGTGGAATTCTGGGAATTGAAGTCCACATGCCTTAAAATTGTCAAGGTTGAGAAACACTGTCTTACAGCATGGCAGCTTGAAGAGGTGTGAACTTCAACTCCCAGAATTGAAGTTGCTGGCTGGGGAATTCTGGGAGTTGAAGTCCACACCTCTTCAGGTTACCAAGGTTGAGAAATGCTGCCTTACAGTCTTTTTGAGAGGGAGGCAGATAGACATACAGCAACAATCCCAGTCCATGACTAAAGCAACCCCTTTTAAGTGCTTCAATTTTAAAGTAATGTTTTCCCTCTTCCTCAAACACAGCTTTTACCACAGATACAATCCAGCACACTTCATCAATGATGTGATCAGGCCAAGTATTAGTTGAGCTGCTTATCTCCACTTTAGGCTGTTCTGGGTACACATTCTCCCTTCTAGTTACTGGGCACTGTTCTCCACTACCATTTGGGTTTGGGATGCAGAAAAGAAGATTGAACTTCTCCTTCCATGCAGTCCTCCATGCCTGCTAACCTGACTGACAGATCCCAGTTACAGAGGAGGAAGATGGGGTGAAGTGGAAGGAAATGCTCCTGATGGTCACAACCGCTTCTCTGTACTCATGAAACAAAATGCTGTTTTTGAACATGGACTGAGCACTTAGAGTGCTAAATCTGAATCTAAAAATAATCTAGTGACATTCCTCATCCCTTACTCTTTCTCTGGGGCCTTATTACTTGGTAATTAGGAGAACAAATGTCAGTATACATTTCTGCCGGTTCAAGGATTGGTAGATTGCATCACAAATGCTTAGAAATCTTGCGACTCAAGAAAAGGCATTGGGAGACATTAGAAGTCTGCAATTTACATTGCTTACTTATTTGTTTACTTACTTACTTAAATTTATACACACTGTTAAGCAATTCCTATACCCATAAGGAATTTCATAATATTGACTATATCACAATATATTTCTTGTGTGTCTAATCACACTTGGACAAATAAAGTGTTCAATTCAATTCAAGATGAGATTTTTAACTAACATGGATAACATGGCTGGTCAGTCACACATATGGAATTGAGTTTTGTATTATGGACAAAAAATAAAATAAACATTGGTATATTCATTATATATAGGGAAATACATATTTTTTCTTTCTGGAAACAGTATTTCTTTTGGAATTCTTATGTAATTCAGACAGTCCTTAATAAAAGCCTATAGATAACAGAAAATCAGATCAGAGATAGTATATCATTGGAGATATTTCATTTTATTCATGGTGTACATTGTTTTTAAAGCATGAAACTTGATGAGTTTTCAGATGATTTAGTTCTATCGAAAACATTCTAGTGATCTGATTGATATTTCTGTCCTTTTGGTTTTGACAGATACCAGAAATGGCTGAAGAAGGCAGCGACTTTATATGTAAGTGCTCAAGAAGAAAGAATAAATCATTGCTATGATTTTTTTTGTGCTGTTAAAATTGAATTTGTCATTCTGTTCTTCTATATTCGTCATTTAATAGAGTAAATGTAGGGAAGATACAGGTAGTCCTCAACTTACAACCATTGGACTTAACAACCATACGACCATTGTACATTTGTTTAGTGACCATTCAAAGGTACAATGGCACTGAAAAAAGTGACATGACCATTTTTCATATGACTGTTGCAGCATCCCATAATCAAATGGTCATGTAAATAAAATTTAGATGGTAATTGGTTCATATTTATAATGGTTGCGGTGTCCCAGGGTTATGTGACCTTCTGACAAGAAAATGTAATGGCAAAGCCAAATTCATTTAATAATCATGTTATTAAGCTAACAACTGCAGTGATTCACTTAACAGCTATGGCAAGAAAGATTACAAAATGGGGCAAAACTCACTTAACTATCTCACTTAGCAACATAAATTTTGGGTTCAATTGTGGTTGTAAGTCAAGGACTACTTGTACTTCTGTGGCAATAAAACAATAGTTTTAACTTATTGCCTTTGTATTGTATTAGTGCTATTTTACACAGGTGCTAGTTTACTTTTTTGGTAGCTAGTTTTCCTTTCATGTAGAAAAATGAAAGACTCGGCTCTGTCTAATTGGATGGCCTCACTTCTTTCAGCATTATTTTTATTTAGTATTTATGTTCTAGAAAGCAGAATGCAGAGTGGTGGAAGGAATGCTATTGTGCTATTAGCTCCTTTGAATGTGATATTGTGTCTCAAGTCTCTCTCCTTCTCATAGTTACTTAAATAGTTCTATGTTGTAAACAGAGCCCTTGTCTCCAAATAGCTTAAAAAGAGGAATTTAATGGAAGTGAGATCTCTTACATACAGTGCATTCAGAAAATATTCAGATCCCCTTCACTTTTGGTCAATTTTGTTATGCTGCAGCCTGATTCTACAGTTGTTGAACTTAATTTTTCCCCATTAATCTACACTCAGTATCCCTCAGTATCTCAGTATGTCCTTTTAAAATAAATTTACAGACATTTCTAAAATTCTGTTTTCACTTTGTCATTACGGGGTATTGAGTGTATGAGAAAAGAAATGAATTTCAACAACTGTAGAATCAGACTGCAGTATAACAAAATTGGCAAAAGCGAAGAGGGTTTGAATACTTTCTGAACTTATGCACATACTTAAAATAAAGTACGATGCAAGAGCAAGAGTATATATATAGCACTTAGACTTATATACCATTTCACAGTGCTTTACAGCGCTCTTTAAGCGGTTTACAGAGTCAGCCTATTGCCCCCAACAATCTGGGTCCTCATTTTACCGACCTTGGAAGAATGGAAAGCTGAGTCAACCTTGAGTGGGTGAAAACTGAACTCCTGGCAGTCGGCAGAATTAGCCTACAATACTGAATTCTAACCACTACACCACCACAGAATATTAAAGATAAAGTGAGATTGAGGATGTGCCAGAGACAGGTATTTGCTGTGAAGATTAGAGCTTTTCCATTGCATGCATTTGGTATAAAAGGTCAAGGTAAAGGCTTCCCCAGTCCTTGTGTCTGACTCTAGGCGCTGGTGCTCGTCTCTGTTTCTTAGCCGAGGGAGTCAGTGTTGTCCAAAGACCTTTCCGTGGTCATGTGGCCAGTATGACTATATGTTGAGAGCACATGGAATGCATTTGGTATATGCAGATCTTTTGGGTTCTTTCAAGAACTTGAATCATTTTAGATAATTTTATTTGCTGCGGGAATTTGCTGTGTGCATTAGGGGACTGAATTTGTAGCAAAGGACATAACGATTATCTAAGGCTCCAACACAGCCTTCTATATTACTTTTTCAACTATTATACTTTATTCTAAGCATGTGGTTTGCTGATTTTTAATACAGTTTCAAAACTATATTGAGCTTCATGGGTTGTCCAAGGCATAAAGGATCATGCTACAGGTAGTCATCATTTAGTGAGCACATTAGAGACTGACAACTCGGTCATTAAGTGAAGCAGTTATAAAGTGAAACTGAAATTGTGCTTACAATTTCACTTCAGTTTTCCTTTGCTTTACAGACCAGTGAAAGTTGTAAATATGAGGATCGGTCACAAAGTTACTTTTTCATCACCCTCATAACAGCAAACAGTCATTAATGAGGCAGTTGCTAAACAAGGACAGCCTTATACTATTCATTTATTGATTCTGTATTACTGATAGCAATAGCAATATCACTTTTACCGATCTTGGAAGGATGGAAGGCTGAGTCAGCCTTGATAGGTAGAATAGTTTTTTAAAAAGAATTTCAACAGCTGGCAAATTTTATTTCAGAATTTTGCATTTTATCAGCAAGGTAAATAGATAATATGTGAGACATAATTCATAAATGACAAGACTCTGGGATATATTATTAGGGAGCAGAACTGCGAAACACACAACAGTGCAGGTCTGAAAAAAAAATAACAAAAATTTTATAATATGTATCTTTGATTCAACTGCTAAGCCAAGGATAACATCTACTTTGCTAGGCTGCAGTGGTAGTTTTGTTTTGCCTACTCACTGGTGTCTGCTGTCCCTTAATTGTTTCAATAGTGATAATAAAAATGTCATAGGTTATAAACATAAAATAATGTATTTGTCTTTTAAGTTTGTAACATTGGCAATAATGCACGTATTGTTTCCAAATTTTGATGTGGCAGTTGGATTGGTAAATCTTGCTACCTCTCCTTACCACAAAATCTCTAAAAACAGCTAGCCTGTGATTCCAGCGAAAAGGGAAAACACCCAAAGTCAAATTAACAGATCTGTGAATAGAGTTGGCCTAAGGAATCCATCCTTGTCTTTGTGATTTTCATGTATACCAGAATCCATTCCTTTTAGCAGGATTCCCAACTAGGATTTTTGCCAGTTCAGATTCACACACCTGAATTCTGGTGGAACCCCATTGATCAGAGTATTCTAAAATTATTTTCTCATTTTAATGCAACATGTTTCTTTCCCATGTTTTAGAGTATTCTTTTTTTTATTGAAAGTTTTTTAAATTTTACAAAACAAATCCCCTCCCCAAACCCCCCCACCCTCCCATACCCTCCCCCATCTCCCCAAACCTCCCAAACCCTCCCCCAACCTTCCCAGAGCTGAGTACAGGCTTAATTAAAATTTTTCAGAAAAAGAAAAGAAAAACTTAAAACACATATAAATCCTAAACAAATCTAAATACATTAAATTAAATAGGTTATCTTCTCTAAAAAATAATAATTGCAATCATTAAACACATTATAACATACTCTAAACATTTTCTAGTATCATACTTATATTATTATCCATCATTCTGTATAAACTCCCTCCAAAACACAAATTTAAACATTACTTTCTTTGAATATCTATACCTACAATATAAAATCTAATCTCTCCCTCTTTCTTTATCCTAGAACACAAAAATAAACATATAAACCTTCATTATACCATTAAAACTAAATACTCTTTGAATACTTAAACTAAATACTTAAACTTAAACTTCTTATCTAAGATTTTCATTCAATCTCCATAATCTTCTCTACTATCAAAAAAAACTTAAAAGACATATAAATCCTAAACAAATCTAGGTACGTTTAATTAAACAAGTTATCTTCTCTTAATAATAATAATAATAATAAATTTTCATAAGTATAGGCTCTTCAGACTGCAATTCTACCTTCTTTTCTTCCAAAGCTTTAAACTTAATAGATGGCAATGAACATACCCCCAGGACCGAAGTATAAAAATCTTTTGCTTGAGAAACAGTATTAAGTCTATAACATATCCCCAGGTAATTCATCACCATTCCAATCGGAACATCCCATCTGAACAAGATTCGTCTCTTTTTAAGTTCATCTGCTATAAAAGCAAACTCCTTTCTTTTTCTTAAAATTTTAGATGGGATTTCCTTTAGAATTATAACATCTTGTGAAGCAATTTGAAATCTCTTCTTATAAAAAGCTTGTATAATTTCATTGCGCAGAGATCTTTTCCCGAAGTAAATTACCACATCTCTTGGCAAATTCTTTTGCACTGCCACCACAGAGTTAACTCTAAATAATTTTTCAATTTCACTAAGTATTTCCTCTTTTTCTTTATTCAAAATCACAGCAAAGTCCTTTGCAACCATCTCTCTCAGATCTCCTTGCACAGACTCTCCCAAACCTCTGATTCTTAAGGCATATTCCATTTGTCTATATTGAAGCATAAGAATCTCATTTTCCATTTCTTTTTCCATGCTTTCAAATTTTCCCTCCATCAATTCCACTTTTTCTGGTACCTCTTCTACACGAGAGTTCAGCTTTTCAAGAACAGAGGCAACTCCTTTTAGAGCCAAAACTATCTCTTGCCTCAAAATCTTATTATTTTCCTCTAAAATCTCTTTCATTTCTGCCCTAATTTGAGATATAACATTTCCCATCATATCTTGCAAATCCTTCACAATTATTGGCTGTACCAAGGAAGAGGGTGAAGCTATTGATTTAGGTTGTTGCACTGATGATAACACCGAAGAAGAAACCACCTTAGGAGCTGTAGGAATTACTGGACGCTTTGGAGCCATCTTAAAAAAAATCTTTACTCCTTCTTAAAAATTACAAAAATTAAGCAAAAGAAAAAGAGAGATTAAGTCCAAAAAAATTCAAAAAATCCTTCAAAAGGAGATCATTATAACAAAAAAATACTGAACGCTTTGGAGCCATCTTAGAAAAATCTTTACTCCTTCTTAAAAGTTACAAAAATTAAACAAAAGAAAAAGAGAGATTAACTCCAAAAAATCAAAAAATCCTTCAAAAGGAGATCATTATAATAAAAAGAAAGGAGTTAAAAAAAGAAAAGGGAAGAAGAAAAAAATAATTAAATAGAAAAAATCCATTCCATTTTTTTAAAAGTACAAAAAGCAAAACAAAGAAGTTAAACAAAAATAATAATGCTTCTAAAATCCAAACCCAACATCAAAATCAAATCCACATTCCGTTCCAATCATTAAAAAAAAGGAAAAGGATAAAAAAAAACACCAAAAAGCCTGCCGATCGCCATTCTACCTTCCCCCCCCCCAAAAAAAAAAAAACCGAAAGGCTTGCCGATCGCCATTTTACTTTCCCTTTCAACAAAAGGAAAAAAATAAAAAGAAGGAATATAAAAGTAAAACTAAATCTTTAAACTTAAAATCCAAATAAAAGCAAAGAAAGCAAAAGCTAAATCCTCTACTCAGCTCTGTCCGCCTCTAAAAAAACCTCACCAGATCACTTTAATCGCGGAGGTGGTTGCAGCGGCTTGTTTTGTCCCTAGGGACAAAAGCAGCTGGGAAGCGGAGACAGTCTGAACTCCGTGGGAGCACTCCTCTCACCCCCCAAAAAAAGCCTTGGGGGTGCATGAGAGTGGCTCTACCACTATTCAGACAACCCTCTTCCCCCCCCTTTGCCCGGGAGGGGGATTTTGAACCGCTGAACAGCTGATGGCCGCTGTTCATAGGATTCAAACACTTACCCAGGAGGACGGCTACAAAGTAGCCGCCATCGCGCGCGCAGATCCACCGGAAGTCTTTTAGAGTATTCTTAATAAGGTTCATTTGTTACACATTTATTTGAAATGTATTTTTATAAATGATATAGCAATAGTTTATAAATTCAGTGTAATTTCACCTGCTGTCTCATTGAAATTAGTTGAAATAATATTGTAGTTACATTTTGGCTATTAAATGGGCTATTGTGAGCTATTAAATACCACAATTGTTTGAAATAAAGACTTGAATTCAATATAGCTACTTGACAATATATGACCAAAGGGTACCTTTCTTGTCTCTTCCAGGGTGTGAAGATTGCAATCAGTATCACGATTCAGAATGTCCAGAGCTGGGTCCTGTGGTGACAGTCAAAGACTCCTTTGTGTTAAGTAGAGCAAGGTAACTTTTACAGTATTGCATTTTTGAAGTAAACCAAACCTATTTGGCAACTTTTCAAAAGAGAAGCCTCTTTGTGAACTTGAATTTTGCTTTAGGTGTTGCATTTTAAATAGAGAGTATTCTAGGTCTTATGTTGATTTTATCTAATTCTAAATGTCATCTGAAATGAGCTAGCATGTCCAAAGAGTTGGACAAGGATTGGAGAAACATATGTGTAAGCCTATCGCCAGTCATCAAAATTCACTGAGTGGCTTTGAGCCAGCCCCTTTCCTTTTCAGCCTAGAGTTCCTGAAGGAAAGGTAAGATGGAATCTAGTAGATAGTCATCATGATCATCATCTGTGTCTTCAGAGCCTCTGGAGTTTTTGACTATCAAGAAGACAAATAATGCTGTATGAATGACTCCATTTCAGCTAAGTGGAAATTCATGACCTTTTCATAGGGTTAGAGAAGTATTCCAATATAATGGCCTCCAAATGTGTTGAGGGCTACAGAACACACCATGTATTATTCTAGAAGTTGTACTTTCTTATTTCAGAAGGTTATTAGAATAGGGAAGCCTCAGAGAGATGGCAGCTTTCTAGGATTTACCAGAAAAAGCAGTGAGAGAGATTCATGAAAATTACACTATATTAGTAGCATAAAATGGGAGCAAAAGAAGCCATGTTTATATAAAGAGTCTAGGTCACGGGTGTCAAACTTGTCACGTGACGTGTTGCGATGTATCGTGACTTTTTTTGCATTACCGGAGCTGGGGTGGGTGCAGCCTCCATATGATACAACTGGCCCACAGGCCAGCAATTTGACACCCCTGGTCTAGGTAGTCCTTGTATAGCAGCTACCTTGGACAGCGATTGTTTGCAATTGTGACAGTGATGAAGAGCTAACTCTGTAACCAATCCTTGTATTTGCAGGTCTGTAAAGCAAAGAAAAGATAAAGTAAGATTCTAAGCATAGCTGCAGTTTCACTTAGTGACTGCTTCACTTAATGACTGAGTTGATGGTCTCAAGTTGTGGTCACTAAACAAGGACTATCTCTACACATTTGCAAATTTATTTTGAAAGGCCACTATGTTCCAAGAAGTGAAACAAATGTTTCTGTTTAGGTAAAGACAAGCTAAAATACACATCACAAAGATTAGTTTTTTTCTTGTTAGACATAGTAATGATAAATTTTCAATAAATGTAACAGGATGGAAATTTGTTTAATACACCATTTAGTCTATGAGTATTTAAATTCTTATTACCAGATATAATTTGTAGCATGCCAGGAGGTTTTCACCTTTTGTCTTTGTCACAGCAATGTGTTATAAATGTACAACATGAGTCACAATTGATTGATCTATAGAGAAAGAATAATACAGAAAAGGGGTGAAAATAAATAGTTCGCACAAAAATTTTTCAAACCTTTCCCATAATTGTTTCCAATGACATGCTTTTTATGCAGCAGTTTTGGTTATGGGATAGAAAATATTTTTTTCTCACTTTCAGTCCCTGGCCTTTTCATTTCAAATGTCAAATAATCAGATAGCAGGAGATACATGGGACTCCTGTTCTTTACCATACAGTAATGTCAAAGAATATAATCTGGTTTTTCTTTTATATTAGTTATGGTTTGGTATGTGACATTCTTGCAGAGAATCTATCATCCATGTTAAGATTCTGCATTCATTCTATATGGGTTGAATTCTTCCTTCCAAAACTACTGCCAGATGTGTTTTAGCATCACAATATTCAATTTTTAGATCATCCCTTCCTTCCAACTTGGAGATCAGACAACTTGAAGATGGGACTGAAGGTGTTTTTGCAATAACTCAACTTGTGAAGCGTACCCAGTTTGGTCCCTTTGAATCCAAGAGAGTTGCCAAACTAGAAAAGGAATTAACATTTCCACTGAAGGTACAGTGATTCCAAATTCAGGTTAATCAATTATAAGGACATTGAAAATATGTCTAGCTTTCCCTGATCTGATGACTTCCATACTGTAGATACAGAATTTCTAAATGAGCATTGCTATGTTTATTGTGAATTATAGTTCAATACTACTAGCTGATCATTTGTTCCTATGTAACTTTCCGATAATGCGGAGAATCAAGACAAAGTTATTTGTGGCCGTGGACGAATTCAAATCTCATAATCTAGACAGAAGTACTGAATTCAAAAGCCTTCCTGCAGTGATTCAGTGCTTTGATCAATGTAATAGGCGTCTTCATATCTTGCCTTTGAATTTCCTAAAGGAATACTGAGCTGGATAGATTTTTCAGTCAGATATAACAAAGCAGACCTTGTATTTGTATTCAGGACAATTAACACCTACTATCAGATATGTGAAAGATAAAGGAAAGATTCTAGCAGATCTACAAAGAATGAAAAATAGAACAAGCCAGACATATTAAAATCATGTTAAATACATTAATAAATGAATGGCAATAATGTACAAGTAGCCACCAAACACAATTCAGATTGTTCAAACCAAGAATTGGAAAGAAAGCCAAGATGCTTTTAAGATAGAAAAATCGAAACAATTCAGGTTATTGTTTTCCTCATTGCTGGAGGATGAAACCTAGTTGTTTCTGTTATTTTCTATGCCATTACACTGAATATTTGGACATAGGGAACCCATTGGCATCTGGTCATGTTCAATTCTAGGGGTTCCCCAATTTGAGGGGACCTTGGGCACATTTTGCATTTTTAAGAAGTGCCATGGCATACAACTATAAAATAGTGTGATATATTTTGAAATAGCCAGGTGAAAAATGCTGGGGGCATCTTGATCTTAATTCTGGAGAAAATAGCTCTAATAAATAAGTGAATAAATTGTACAGTTTGTTACTTTATCAAAATAATCATTAGGAATAAGTTTGCATTGAAGTTCTACATGTATAGGTTTTTCAGAAGGAGGGGTCTCCGGTCTATTTTGATACATCTAATGAAGACGACTGTAACTGGATGATGATGGTGAGACCAGCCAGTCTATATGAGCATCAAAACCTGACTGCTTTTCAACATGATAATGACATTTACTTCACTACTTCTCGGGACATCCCACCTGGAACTGAGTTAAGAGTATGGTATGCAGCTTTCTACGCCAAAAAAATGGAAAAGCCAGTTCTAAAGCAATGCATTGTCAATGGTATGTTTGGTTGTTTATGGGGAGGTTCCTTACTACCATACAGGATCTTCCCTGACTCAGTTATTGTGGATATTTTCCTGGGGTGGGAATATTCATACAGGCATCTTTTCCACATCAAAATCGATACATTATTTTCTCCAATTCACACATTATTTGAAGGTGAGGCTGCTAAACTGGATCCAAAGATACCCAAATAGAACTTTGCTTCCCATTTCCAAGCCTCTGATGAAGCTCAAGAGTCCCAGTGGAATGGTATGTGATAGGCACAAGGATTTCAATAGTTGGGAGAATGAAAACAATTTGATAATAATTTTACCTTGTGCAGGCAAAAGTGCTTTTCTCTTCTTTCAAAATACATTTGGACCCAATCTGTTATATGCAGCCTGTTTTATTCTGTTTCGCAGAGACATAGAACACACACACACGAAAGAATAATCAGAAGACTGAGATGAAGAGTTAATAAATCAGTGTCTCAGATATGCTAGTTGCTGAAAGTTATCCACAGTCAATGTGTAAGTTGGCAACCACATCCAAGGAGTATGGAGCCAAAAGAATGATCCACTAAGTGTTTCATATTCCAGATCCTGAGCATTAGCTGGGTTAAACAAACTTAATTTCATTCAGATTCTGCTACTACTTTACATATTTTTCCTTCCAGACTCACCTCAATTTAATTGGTACTGTTTAGTATTCTATATATGTGGCCTATGTTAAATCAAGCTACTGTGTGTAGTTACTAGGAATTAAAAATGACTTGATAGCACCTAATCAATCATTAGGATTCTGTCTTCCAATGAGTTTGAAATTGACGTTGATGTTGGAGTTTGTTTTGGACTGGTAGATTATAGATCATGGTCATAGCTTCAGATTTTATAGGTTTTATAGAGTTGGAGCTTCTTTAGCCTCCCTGTCTTTATCTGAGCTTTAAAGGGGATGAAAAAAGCCCAGGGTCCGTATTCCTTTTCCCTGGCATCTCCCCTTACACCATGGAGGAAGAAATCAGGGTGGACATGATGCAGCCTGAATGTACCATTCAGCTAATTGTTTTAAAACAAAAAGCTTCAAAGAATTGGATTTCAACAGAAATGCATAGAGAATGAGAAAGAAGAAGATACTGTTGTTTAAACCTTGTTTATCATACTATGTTCTGTTAAGAAAGAGAAAATAAATATAATGCACATGTGATATCCTCCAGACCTGGATTTCTATGTTATTTTTGTACATAACATTAAGTCAGAATTCTTTAAAAAAAATTTTATTGAACAACTTTACCTAATTAGTTCACACTTAAGTCTAAATGGGTGTGTTAGTCCCCTCCATCCAATATCTGAAAAACAGACGTTAACTCTGTATGAACAGTGAATTAGGACTATGTTAGAATAACATTTCTTAGTTGTCTATATTCCTGGCTTGTCTAACAACAAAAATTTCAAATATCCTACAGCCCTTTGCAATAAATGATTATAACTGATTCTCTTTTTCTGTTTTCTTTCTATATATGCCTTGAAAAATATTGTTATATTAAAAAGAATGTACACCTTGCCTTAAATTTCTTGAATTTAATTTTAATTTAATAATTTAAATTTCAAGCATTTGCTAATGTAATAAATGAAAAATTACCAGAATGAAGATGGCTTTGGATATTAGTGAAGAACTGTTCATCAATTTATATGCTCTCTTAGCATTGTTATAGAAATTGGCTAAGCTAATTAAAAATATGGTCTCTTTAATATGTGTTTAGCTGTGGTGGAATGTGACCAACAACGAAATAAAAGCACTTATCCTACTACCTTTTCTTTTGAGAAACTCAAGAAGTTAGCCAAGAATAATCAATCTGCTAGAACTGATCCTTCAGGTATCAATACATTTTCGTCTCTATTGAATATGTACAGTATAAATCTGGAATATTTTATATTTGTGTATTATCCCACAAAGTAAGCATGCAAATATAATAACAAGAGTGATCAAATATAAATTGCTTTGTAGTGATTTTTTTTTTTTAGTTCTGTATTTTCTCTCAGCCTTTTTTCTACAAGATATCAGCATAGATTATTTTGAGGCCAGTTATTGACAACTTTATTTAAATGTCAAAGAGCTAGTGTATATGATTTAAAAGAAGATCATGCAATGGTCATCATGCCTTTAAAAAAATCCTCTGATAGTGAGGATTTGGTGCTTTATATGATAGTAAGTTTATAATGTTTTGTATGTTATGGTTAGAGCGAGTAGCATTCTTGGCCTTTTATATCTTGGGTGGTATTGATATTGTCTCAGCTTTGTGCAAAGGTCAGAGTATAATACTGCTGACTTCAGAGGGGGTTATTAAAATAATAGATTTTTAGTTGCTTCTAAGGCTCAGCTGGCCATTTCCCCCTGTGATGCAGATTCTTACTGCTTTTTCTTTGTAGAACATGGGCAGGGTCATTTGGAGCAAGGTAAAACAGTTCCACAGAGCAGTCAAAATGATGTTCATCTAGAGAAGGCTATGGAAGTTCCCCATACTGATCAACCCATCACTATCTGTGAAAGTGCCAATTCCCAAGTGAATATGAAGAAAAAACCTCGACGGGGCAGGAAACCCAAAGGAACAAAAGTAGAAACACCTCTTGTGATTGTGGATGATAAAGATTCTACTGGTGAGACTAGGAAATTGTTAAAAGTAATCTCCGTACTTTTATGTTTGATACAGCAATAGTGAAATAGAATCTAGAATGGCAAGTGATTAGTAAAGGAGTGGGGCATGGAGAGCCTCATCTTCCACCTTACGATGTGATTGTAATCGGGAACTTGTGAGAAAGAAATAGTACAGATAGTCCTTGACTTAGGATAGAAATTTGCAGAACTGCATCACTTAGCAATAACAATCTCTGCAGACATAATTGCTGTTGTTAACTGAATCTCATGGTCATTACATGAGGCAACTTCTTGCCAGCTTCCCACAAGCAAAGTCAGTGGGGAATCCAACAAGAAGTTGCCAGTCCCAATCCCACAGGCAGCTAAGGAGCTGCTAAAGGGCAGGGGCAGGAAATGAAGTAATGCATGGAGATGCAGGAGAGGTCGAGCAGATGCACTGGGGTGAGCACATGGCTGGGTCAAGTGCAGAAGGGCTGGGGAGGGTGTGTAGAAGAGGGAGAGTCACTCTAGCAGCTTGTGACCTTCCCTGCTGGCTTCCACGTGATCATGGGGCACTTGGTAACAATCGTTCAGTGCCATTGTAACTTGGAAGCGATATGTAGCCTAATGGTTATAGGTTAAGGATTTCCTGTATAGCATAACTTGTGGATAGGTCTGATAATTGATCCACTTGATTTTAGCTTTCTAAAATCTTGGTCAAAGCAATTTTTTTTACCAAAACAGGCAGGACACTGGCAATCTATAAGTATATATCCTGTCACTTTTTTTCACTTCAGCAGATGAAACAGGTATTATATGAAAGTTCCATAATTTGAATTTAGGGTTTTTTTTCTGACTTCCAAGCTACTTCAGAGATTCTGAAATTCATTTTAAGTGGAATCAAGGGATAACATTAAGTTACATTTCTCAAAACCTAAATTGTTTCCAAAATTTGTGGCATTCCCAATATACTGAATTCCAGCTCCCAGGAATTCAGTATAGCATGACTGGTGATTAAAGTTCTGATTCAGCTATTATTAATTTTCATTGTTTTAATTTTCTCACAGAATGTTTGGCAATTTGTTCACCTTTTTTACTATATAATATAAAATTACAGAATGGATAACTTAACTAACAAAAATAAATATCCTAAAAAATAGCTTTGTGCTATACCTTATTGTTGCATATTTACTGTTCATGTTATAGTAATGAAATGTCAGTAATTAAAGGACTATTATAATTTACAGCCAGATTAGACATCATTAAAAGCAGTCCCTACATTTCTATTTGAATAATGGTCTGATCTGTGTATCAATTGCAACATGAATTTAAACTAGTTAAATTCTACTATGTACAATAGACAAAATAGCATTAAGATTATAATCATGTTTATACTTATTTTCTGAGTAAACATATATGTGAATCAGCTTTGATTTAACTTAGGTATAGATGAACAAATTCAATCAGTTTTTTTAAAAAAAAATAGTATGCTTATTTTTTCATAATTCATTGATTTTTTTTCTTGGTAGCAGTGAATACAGTGGACCATGTGGCTGAAATTATCACTGAGGTCCCACCTGATGACACAGCAATTCCTTCAGCAGCAGAAGATCAAATTATGGAGCTGATGTTAGCAAAGCTACCCAGTACTGCAAACAACGTGGGTTCATTAACAAAGTAAGCTTTCCCTGCAAAGAAAAAAATGGCTTTAAGTCCTGCTTTCTTGTAATAAGTCTGCTAGATATCGATCACTTATAATGATCATGAGGTGGAGGAAATATGGAAAAAGCTTATTGGAAAAAAGATACCTTACCATAGTAAATATAATGGAACATGGAAATAAATAAATATCTTGTTACCTATAATAACAGTGAATACGTTGACATACTTATACTGACAATGAATACTAGAAGTCCTTGCCTTTATGACCACAACTGAGCCCAAAATTTCTGATGCTAAGTAAGACATTTGTTAAGTGAGTTTTGCCCCATTTTATAACTTCTTGCCAGTTGTGTGAATCACTCCAGTTCTTAAGTTGGTAACATGGTTGTTAAGTGAATCCCCATTGACTTTGCTTGCCAGAAGATCGCAAAATATGATCACAGGAGCCCGGGATCCTGCAACTTTCATAAATATGAGTCAGTTGCCAAGCGTCTGATTTTTGATCATGTGACCATGGGGATGCTAAAAGAGTTGTAAGTGTGAAAAACAGCCATAAGTCACTTTTTTCATTGTCGTAACTTCAAATGGTCACTAAATGAACTGTTGTAAGTTGTGACTACCTGGCAATCTGCTTATTTACAGTAGGTATATAAATGCCAACCTACATTACTAGTGATAAAGGAATATCCACAGTGAGACCTAATAGCTTTCCTCGATATGGCGTCCTGCAGATGTATCGGGAATGAAAGTCTCAGAAGTTCTAGCCAGTAACGAGTGCTAATATATGCTGATTTTTTTTGCTCATCACTGCCTTCTTTTTAATCTGTTAGGTTTCCTCACCATCAGAGCTCTGTATCCCTTAAGAGAAGTTTAATCCTTTCCAGCCGACACGGGATTCGACGCAAGTTGATCAAGCAGCTTGGGGAACACAAGAGGGTGTATCAGTGTAGTATCTGCAGTAAAATGTTCCAAAATAGTAGCAATCTCAGCCGACACATCCGCTCTCATGGTAAATTTCAATTTAGCTGGATTCTTCTTTTGCAAAGCTAATAATTGGTGGAAGAGAAATCTTTAATCCAGCATACAAGAAGCAGAGAATATTTGGAAGCTGAAGCAATAATTAAATAGATCAACTGCATGCACCCATGGCTTAGGATAAAGGGATGATAAAATAATTTGTCAACTCCCAGGAGGAGCACTTGTTTGCTTCAGAGAAATTGGGCAAAGGTTTTTCTAATTTCAGCAATCCTCAATATCTGCTCCTTTAAATAATTAGGAAATATACCAATGATAATCTAATTTTTAGAACAGTTTACAAAAGCACAATCTGTTCATAATTAGAGGTATCTCAGATACATTAGGCTAAATATAGACTGCTAAATTTTGGAAGCCATGTGAGACCAAGTTGATTTACTTTACCTAGCCTAACCATTTAATAATTTTTGGTTTTAGTATTATTAACATTTCCTAAATTTTACAGCTTTCTAAAAATAATGAGTGTTTTTAATTGGTTCTTTAGGTGACAAACTATTCAAATGTGAGGAATGTGCTAAGCTTTTTAGTCGAAAAGAGAGTTTGAAGCAACATGTTTCATATAAACACAGTAGGAATGAGGTTGGTATGGTACTTTTTGTTTATGGAACAGAAATGGATTATGCATAGACATTGGTCAACTTCATATAAAATCAAGGAGGAAGATAAGTTGAAAAAAATAATCCCTTTCATGCTGATAAAGCAGAAAAATCATAGTTCTTTTAAAATGATTTTTTTCCCTTTTCCAAACATTTTACAAAAATGTTTCATGTTGCTCTTAATGAGAGGGAAGTAAAATTTATTTATTTATTTGTTTTTCATATTTTTAATCGTCCCTCTCGAAAAAGGCCTCTGGGCAGTGTACGATATAATCAAAATCAAACATTAAAATCAGAATAATTTAGGATTAAAAATTTTTAAATTATAAAACAACATTATAAAAATTTCAAAAGGTAAAGAATTCTAAAGTGGTGAATTAGCAATTGTTAATACAGGCAGCCGGGGGGGGGTCCTCATGAGGCCAGCCAGCCCCCTGGTTATGTGGGCTCATGTGTCCCCAATGCAGGGCTACACAGCCAAGTTTTGACTCCTTTGCGGAAGGCCAGAAGATTGGGGGCTTTCCTTACCTCTGAGGGTAAGATGTTCCACAATGCAGGGACAGCAGCAGAAAAGGGCCTCTTCCTTGACCCCACCAGTCAAAATTCTCTGACTGAAGAAGTCTATAGCATGCCTTCCCTGCCTGAACGAGAGGGTCAGGGTGATGGGATGGGGCAAAGCCGGATCTTAGGTAACCTGGCCCATGTCATGTAGGGCTTTATACTTTGAATTGGACTGTAAGCAAACCAGCACCCAGTGCAATTTGCAGAGCAAGGGTGTTATTTGTGCTCTTCTTTGGGCACCCAATATGGCTTGTGTGGCCGCACTCTGCACCTGCTGAAGCTCCCAGATACTTTTCAAGGGTAACTTTATGTAGAGCACATTTCAATTGTCCAATCAGGAGATGACCAGAGCATGACTGACTAACCGGAGGACCTCTTTTTGCCTCTCTATTCTTAAATCCTAGCAGTAGAGAAGCAACATACATAGGTATTCTCATTATTGCATGTGGGAGGCTTATGTAGATGGCCCTTCCTCTCTGCTTTTCATTCGCTCTCTCTGTAGACAGGGAGTTCTATTTTGTTGTCCAGCTGTCATGTCTTCCCAGGGACCATAGAAATATAAGTATAGTTATTTTGCCTTCATATAAATCTTCATATAAAGAGCCTCAAAAACTCTTGTGCAAGACTTCCCTTTGATTTAAAGGTGTCTCATTTTCCTTGAGTTTATTTTTAGGAAAAGTTCTATTTTGGAAACAAATTAAAAGAATAAATTATGACATATTTCTTGTGCCTTCTCTAGGTTAACAGTGAATATAGATACAGATGTGCTACATGTGAAAAAGCTTTTAGGATAGAAAGCGCATTAGAATTCCACAACTGCAGGACAGGTATGATAACAATCAGGTAACTCTTGATTTACTGTATATGAAATGGTATTGACTTTTAATTCTCTGGTAAGAAGAGATAAATAAAATTGAGAAGTAGGTATAGGTAGTCCTTGAATTACGATAGCAATTAGGGTTGGAATTTTTGTCACTAAGCCATGCAGTCATAAAACGCAGTGTCATGTGATTGCGTTGCTTAGCGATGGTACCGTATTTTCCGGCGTATAAGACGACTCGGTGTATAAGACGACCCCTGACTTCAGAGAAGATTTGCATGGTTTAGAAAGTCATCTTATACGCCGGAAAATACGGTAATCCTTGCATGTTAACTGTTAATGAGTGAGGATCATGGATCATTAAGTAAGCACCTCCTTATAGGGAGGGGGAGACTTACAAAAGCAAGTTGCATCTTTCCCTTCTGGCTTCCCCATTGACTTTGCTTGTAGGAAGCCAGAAGGGAAGGTTGCAAATCTCTAGAACTGTTGTAGGTGCAAGCAGGTTGCCAAGTACCCAGATTGCGATCATATGACTGTGGTTGTAACTGGGACGGCCAAACTTTGAGGCCCAGTCATAACCATCACACTTACTCACTTACTGCATAAATTTGAGTAGTTGCTGAACAAGTGCTTATTAAACAAGACACACCTGTATTCTTAATTTCCATAGCCAGATAAAACATGAATAATCTACAGATAATTTCATCCAAGTGAGATTTCAAATGATGTTTTATTGGTTATGCCCTTGTTCTGTCTCTTTTTTTAACTAGCTGAATTATATGTTGTGCTGCTGTTGTTTTCTTTAATTTTAAAATTTTATAACACGATTAATTACTTTGAATCAGGTTGTTTTATAGCATAAGACAGAGAAAGCTGGTTCTTCTGTTTTAGAAATTTCTCTTGTAAATGTGCACAGATAGTCCTCAACATACAATAGTTCGTTTAGTGACCATTCGAAGTTACAACAGCACTGAAAAGTGACTTATGGCCATTTTTCATGTTTATGACCATTGCAGAATCCCTATGGTCATATGATCGAAATTCAGATACTTGGCAACTGACTCATATTTATGACGGTTGCTGTGTCCCCGGGTCATGTGATCCCCTTTTGAGACCTCCTAACAAATAAAGTCAATGGGGAAGCCAGTTTCACTTAACAACCGTGTTACTAACTTAACAACTGTAGCAAAGCACTTAAAAACTGTGGCAAATCAAAATCATAAAATGGGGGCAAATCTCACCTAACAAATGTCTTACTTAGCAACAGAAATTTCGGGCTCAATTGTCATAAGTCGAGGACTACCTATACGATTTTTTAAATCATATCAATTACATTTAGAATAGTTCATCTCCTTTTCTTTCAGACGATAAGACATTTCAGTGTGAGATGTGTTTCAGATTCTTTTCTACAAACAGTAATCTTTCAAAACATAAAAAGAAACATGGGGACAAAAAATTTGCCTGTGAAATTTGCAATAAACTATTCTACCGAAAGGATGTGATGTTGGATCATCAGAGGCGGCATCTGGAAGGTAAGTACATTTGTGATTAATGTCTTCAGAAATCGTGGGTGTTCCATCACTGGAGATTTTTAAGAAGAGGCCAGACAGTCACTTGTCTGAGATGGTATAGGTCCTCCTGCTTGAGCAGGGGGCTGGACTAGAAGACCTCCGAGGTCCCTTTCAGCTGTATTCTATTCTAATCAGAATTCTAATTCTTGGACCTTGTTCTTGAGTCTGGGATTGGGACTTTCAGCACTCAAAGAACTGGTAGTTGTCAATTGTCAATTACTCAAAACTTTAGTTGTCAATTTGTTAATGATCTACTGTAATAGATTACAAGAAAGCTGTGAACCATTCAAGAATAGCTATTTTCTAAAGTTGTTGTCTAACTTACTGATTTGTTATTTGAGCTTAAAAGATTTTTCACAAAATCTCTCTTGATGTTATAATTTATTACCTGTGATTGAAAGTTTTTTAGAAATTGCTTCTTATTTTTGTTACGCTGGAAGCACCCAAACTTACTTTTATTTGTAAGCTATAATGTGTTCCCCATTACTTCTTCTAGCAGCATCTATAATAAACCTAGTGATGCTGATATAACATGTGCATATTCTCACACAGATGTCATGATTACATACTTGTATCAGGATAGCTGATGTTACCATGTGTGTTGCAACATTTGCATGATGAATCACACGTTTTCATCCCTGCAAACATATATAATTTCTTTTTTTCCCCTTACAAATCCTTAAGGACGGAAAGACACAGTAGTCAACGTGTCTTTTGATTTAGCACAAGGATTCACCTATTTGGAAACTCTTATCAGAGAGCTAGCCATTTTAGTAAAACAAGGATTTTATGGACTAGATTGTAATCCAGTTAATCAGCTTCACAAAAGCTTGTGCTATGATAATTTCATAATTTAAACTTATTAGTCTTTAGGCAACTAAAAGACATCTTTGATGTCTGGAAACAACTTTTTTCTTTTCTTGTCATTAAAGCCAGAGTACAGTAATTTGTTGAATGCTAACAGAAAGAAGCAAAATGCTTATTACAAGGCACCACTTTACTTTTGCTACACAAAAAATATTTGTGTAACCATTCTGGGTGGGTCTTGGGGAATCACATCCTGTTCTCCCATGCTTGAGTCATTGCAAGAGCCTGGAAAAGTCCCTACCTCATTTTTTTGTATGGCTGTAAAATAGTACAGTAAATGACTGTGAAACTAATTCAGAAGGGAGCTATTTTTCTGCTGGAATCAGTGTTTGAAATAAACCAATTAAAGTTGCACTTTAAAAGGATTTGATACAAACATAACCCTTGTTTACAACATGTTCTGTACAGTTTGTTCTCCTGGGTAAAAGCTTAGATTACTATCTTCTACTTATTCTGAAAGTTATAACCAAAAGGGAAAAAGAGAAAATCTGTTAATAGATTTTCAGAATGATTTAAGTGTGTATTACTATTTTAGTTTCTATAATAACTGGGAAAACCTTGCTTTAGCCAAGAGTGTTTTTCAGTACATGAGTAATTGTGTAAGTAATTCATAGTTCCAATATATAGAGTAATGACAATCCAAATCAGGGTGGGCAATTGGTACTCCTCCAGGAAATGAAGAACTGCAGTTTGTAGCATTGGCTTCTTTGGACAAAGCTGCTGGAATTTGTGTTCAAAGCAGGAAGATAACAGCTTCTGTTGAGCTAGGAAGTTCTACAGGAACTAGTGCACTGCAATAAATAGAGTCAGAATTGTATGTGAGAGACAAAAATTAAACCATGACATTTGAGCAGTCATCTCTCAATCCAATCTGTGCACAGACAAACAGCTAAAACTAAATCATTTATGTAAAGTGTGTTATTTTGTTATTATGCCTTTTATTGTTTGGATCATATTAGTAATACATAGACTGTTAAAGAGGAAAGTAGAAACCATGGTTCTGTATTCTTCTCTTGGCGGGAATTGTTACCTTAAGGAGTGCGACGTGTAAAAAGAGAGGAATTTGAGCACAATGCAGAGAGTATGGTTCGCTACAAGAAAGAGCCTTCCAGATGCCCAGTGTGTGGAAAGGTAGGATTTCCCATTGGCCATAATTAGGGGTGTGGGGGGGGGGTAGATTTTAGAGCTGTGTTCATGCAAGGGAGTGCAACAGCTTTGTTGCACTGATTCAGTATTTATGATCATTAAAAGCCACTTGACAACTGGATACATCCTGCTAAACAGCATAACCAATGAAGCCATGGATTTGGTGCATATTTCGGTCAACTTAGTTATTGTTTATTATCCCACCTTTATTATTTTTATAAATAACTCAAAAGTGATGAATGTCTACACCTTCCTCCTATTTTCCCCACATCAACAGCCCTGTGAGGTGAGTTAGGCTGAGGGAGAGTGGCTGACCCAAAGTCACTATGCCAGTTTCCATGCCTAAGGTGGAACTAGAACTCACAGCCTCAAGGGTTTCTAGTCTGGTATTTTAAAAAAAAAAAAACTAGATCAAATTGGGTTACCTTGGTCAGCTTCCACAATTGGTTGTTGTCCTGTTGTTTTGGAGAATATCTCCCATCATCCATAGCCAAAATGTTTGTGTGGCTGTTAGCGGCGAAGTATAAAACATCTCAAGGGCAATTGGGAAAAGCTATTCTGGAATACATGGAATGTCTGATTGCCAATTTCATACTGAGTAGGCTCCCTCTCATTTTTTGCCTTTGCGAGTCATAGCCAAAGTGATAGAACAGACTTTGGGGAAGAGATCAGCATTCTTGTCTCTTTTCCAAATGCCCTACTGAAGAGAAGGACTTTCAGAGTCCTTCAGAAACTTAAAAATTATTCCAAAAAAGTGGTGCCATTACCAAGAAGTGTTTTCTCTGCTTCATCTTATTGGACAGGCAGATTCTGTTCAGAAAAGTAGCTTGTAAATCACCCAGGCGCTGAGCCATGTAGGCTTTTTAAAGGTTAAAACTAAAATATTGAATTGTACACACAGAAGTCAATTGGCAACCATGCTGTTCCTATAGTTGAGGTGTCACATAGGCAAACCTCAGTTCACTTTACTTCCTGGGCTGCCACCCGCTGAAATAACTTTTAACTAATAAAGCAAGTTGCAGAAAACCAAGCATGAGGTGACAACTTTCCATAAGCAAAACCTTTGGATCCAGGATTGGTCATAACTGGTACGCCAGATATAGTTATGCAAAAACCTGTTGGCCTTAGACTCCACCTAGTATTTTAGTCTGAGCTAATGAATCCAAGAACTCCCTGATTGCAAACTATCTCCATCTGAGGGAGTTCTAACTCTTCCAAATTTAAGGTATACCTTTAGATTATCTTCAGCATTGTTTCCAAAGCCACTCCATCTTCCTAGGATTAATCTTAGGTCTGTTTCTCCATCAGGTCCCAACAGTTTCTGAGCATCAAGGATTAGTTGCCCTTCCTCTTAGCCCAGGATGGTGATGAATAGCAAAGTAGCATCTGTTCATTCTTTGCTCCTGGCTGTCAGTTCCTGCATGTAATATTAAATAATTGCAGGGAAAGTACCAAGCTTTGTGGTACCTCACAGCAGATCACCCAAGGAGTCAAACTTCCATTATCTCACCTATAAAGACTATCCAGAAACTACAGGTGGTCCTGAAGTATAGTGACCTGATTGCTAGTAGGTGTAGTGTTTATAGTACCAATGTCACATCATAAGGTTGTTTTGATAACATCCACTACTGTATCTTTTTATTTATTGGTATTTGTATTGTCTTGTATTGCATTTAAGATAAATAAGGAGAGAGATGTTATTAAATCAATTCTGCTGAATTTTGTATAACAAATTATAAATGAAATCATTGAAATAATTTGGGAAGATGTGAATAATTTTTATCAATATTTTTTATCTCCAGATTTTTTCGTGCAGGAGTAATATGAATAAGCACCTTTTGACCCATGGAGATAAGAAATATACATGTGAGATTTGTGGCCGTAAATTTTTCAGAGTCGATGTTCTGAGAGATCATATTCATGTTCATTTTAAGGTACAATATTTAGGTGTGTGTAATAGTTTTATGCCAGGCTGAAGCTCAGCAGGAGTAGGAAGAAGTTACTCAGAAGAACTGAGAAAACACTGAAAGTGAGAATGCTTGAAGGACCATTGCCTGAATTGTTTAACAACAGATGAAATTGCAAATTGGGAGAAGGTTCCTCCCAAAAATTGTTTTTAGAAGCTTATAAAAACCAACCAACAGGAAGGTAATCTGATCTCCAAAGGAAAGCTGCAACAGGAAAACTGTCTCTTTGCTTTAGCCTCCAATCCTACTAAAAATGTGAGACTTGCAGTAGATTTTCCCTGCTAGATCTAATTGGTTGGGTTGAAGTGGGCTGGAGAAGGTCATCCTGAAGACGCCAAACCAGGAAGGGCTTTATAGGTCAAAATCAGCACCTTCAGTGGGCAACCAATGTAGAAGCTGCAAAATTGGTGTTCTATGTTCCTAATATGAAAGAAAGCATGTGGACTACTGCATTTTAAACCATTTCAAACCAAATAGAGCACGTTAGTTAGTCCAGCTGGAGACTAGGATGCTGATGTATCAGCAGCAATTCTAACTTGTCAGGGTTCAACTTTAGTCTGTTCTCTCCCATCCAGACCCTGACAGCCTCCAAGCACCAGGAAAGAGAGAACATGATCTCCCCCATGGCCCAGGGTGAGGATGTACAGCTAAGTATCATCAACATATTGATGATACCACACTCCAAAAGATTACCTGGCATGTCCCAGCAGCTTGATACAGATGTTTATTTATTTATCTATCCAATTTATGTTGAAAAGCATGGGAGATAAGACTGATCCTGTAGCATCCCACAAGTCAGGAACTGCTGGGCCAACGTTTACTCTTCCACCAACACAGATTGGAAACTCCCACTCAAGAAAATAGCTTCAACTCCCAACCCTTGCAGATGGTCCGAAAAATATTCAGTGGTCAAATCAGTACAAAAGTCAACAAGGAGTCTAAGGATTATCCCATCCAGGTCCTGAGACAGGTCATCCAGGTCTAGATAATCTGCTTCCTCTAGGATAACTATACATTTAACATCAGAGATAAGCTTAACGACAGGAGAAAAATATATGAGGCAACAAAACAAAACTTATGTAGGCTGTTTTTTTCCAAAGGTTTTATGAAAACATTACAGAGTGTAATTACAGTAGCATCAGTTTCCTTTTGGGTTGAATAAGATATTTCATTTGAACCATCCTCTATACAGGACATAGCAATAATGGATGACCACCAGAGAGAAGAATTTATTGGAAAAATTGGAATCTCTTCAGAAGAAAATGATGACAACTCAGATGGAAGTGTGGATTCTGAGCCCCACAAGTATAGCTGCAAAAGGTGCCAGGTAGTTTTACTCCTTTCAATACTTTGGTGTGGGATTGATTGAAAGTGCCATGAAAATGTTGAAGATAGTGAAAAAATACTCCAACATATTTCCTGATCCTAAGGGATCTCTATATTTTATTGAACAGATACATTTCTTGCATATGCAAGCTTTTGCTTTTCAGTAATGATAGGACTTTGCATTCAAAAAGGATACATTTTGCCACTATTGAAATAAAAAGATGTACCGTAAACAGGAAATCCTTATGCATACATTGTCATTATTGAATTAAAACATGGTTGTTAGACAAAATATCACATGATTGTATTGTCACTGCAACAGACCTATAACTTAGAGGACTGGACGTGACTACTGTTTGTCCGGGGCCATCATAACTTTGAATGGTCACCAAATGAATGCTTATTAAGTGAGGGCTACTTATGAATATATTCCATACTTGATAAATTCTGATATATTTTTAATATGCATTTTTGTGGGAGAATTTTTGCAACAACATAAAAAACAAACTAAACAAGTTAGACATGAGAGTGTTTTTTTTGTCGTGGTAATTAATATCCATAGCCGGTAATGATACACATCTCCTTCAGGGTTGTGCATTCACTGCTGTTTCATTTTTCAGTTAACATTTGGCCGAGGTAAAGAGTACTTGAAACACATCATGGAAGTTCACAAAGAGAAAGGTTATGGTTGTAGCATCTGCAACAGACGCTTTGCTTTGAAGGCAACTTACCATGCTCACATGGTCATACATCGGGAGAACCTACCAGACCCCAATGTGCAAAAGTAAGCCAAAAAATATCTAATAGAGCTAAATTAAGTGCACTCTGAACAGTTATGCCTAGGTAAATGTTGCATGCAAGCAGTTTCACAAACTTAAGAATAAAACTTTAGCAAGGTGAGGGGAGTGATGGACTGTAAAACTGGCCTGGTTTTATTTTTACTTAAAGTTATTTATTTATCTTTGAAAAAGAATTTTGCACATGTGCTGCCCTGGTAGCAACCAGTTTTCTTGTTATAGAAGAGGATATTGTTTAAAAGGTAATATAATCAACATGAGAGCCAGTTTGGTATAGTGGTTAAGGCAGCAGACCAGAAACCAGGAGACTGTGAGTCCATCCTTAAGCAGGAAGCCAACGGGATGCCTTTGGGTCAGTCACTCTCTCTCAGCCCTAGAAAATAGGCTATGGCAAACCACTTCTGAAAACTTGCCAAGAAAACTGCAGGGACTAATTTAAAATCAACACTGTCTAGAAGGCATTAAAAAATGGTCATAACAATAGCAGCAAAATAAAATCGAAAATGCTTCTTCATTTGATTGTTTTAAGACATTGTGACTAGAGTGTGTCTCAGAAATGGCCTCAGGAAACATCTCTATGTACAGAGAAGGAGAAAAGAATGAGAAACAACAGCAGACGCTTTCAAGGGCAGGAATCCATGGAGGAACTATATTTTTCAGAGTGCCAAGTGAGCCCTTTTCACTTCAACATCTTGCTAGATATAGTGGGACTACAACTCCCAAAGGTCATGTGGTGGAAAATACAGGAATTGAGGTTCCTATAAATACTGTGTTGAGGAAGGCTAAGCTAGATGGAGAAATTTACTGAAATGTACAGTATGTATTTGCACAAATCCAAGTGCCGTGGTATAGTTATAATAATCTCTTTCCAATATTTATTTTCAAATAAAAATTCATTATAGGGATTCAGATTATCCTAAAAAAATAATCTTACAAGTTGATCCTTATTTTCCATTTTAGATATATTCATCCATGTGAAATCTGCGGAAGGATTTTTAACAGCATAGGAAATTTAGAACGACATAAACTTATTCATACAGGTAAACTTATCCTATTTCTTTTTTCTGAGTAAGAAAGATTTTGCTCATCTTAATTCTGTAAATAAATCCTGTAGTTGAGAAAAGCTAATGGGTATTAATTTATTTTCTAATTGAACCTTTTCCATTTTGCTGGTATGGATTAGAAGGATTCTTATACATTAGACCAGACATGTCAAACTTGTGACATCGCGCGCAATGTATCGGGACGATTTTGCTATTGCCGGCAATGGGGTGGGCATGGCTTCCGTGTGATGCGTCCGGCCTGTGGGCCGGCAGTTTGACACCCCTGCATTAGACAAAGCTCATGGAAATTATAACAGAGAGGCAATTATCCTTTGCTGAATGTTATGTTTTAAATTAGTAACATTTTTCCACATTGGTTGCTTTTGTTTTGTCCAAGTCATCCTTGCAAGGTGGATTTTGTGTGTGTGTGTGTGTGTGTGTGTGTGTGTGTGTGTGTGTGTCACAACAGTCCAGAGAAAAAACTGCTGTAGCTGGACAACTGAGAAGAATTGGCTTTCCCCTCTCTAACTCCTATTTTAGTTGGATATACCATCTGGATTCCATCCAGAATAGAAACCTGTTGTGATCACTTTTCTGTCCTCCAACATAGTATATTCAACATTTTAAAATATCTTATTATTTGCTTTAGTCATTCTGCTACTGTATTTTTTAATCTCTCCCTTTTCCTCCCCTTCTCATAACAAGTATTCTTTTACTTTCACTTGTATCCTGCCACACCTTAAAATTCTTTCTTCTGTTCAGTTCTATAGCTAATAAAGAACACTTAGATTTCCTTGTATTTGCCTCTGCCTTATTTCATGTAATTCTTTTTCAATCTTTTTTTTTTTTTGAGAATAGGAAGGATTTTGCCTTGTTTAATTTAAGGGGATATTTTTGTTTGCTTTCTTTTTATTATTAAAAAAAATAAAAAATATGTTTTTTGTGAAGGGGTGAAAAGTCATGCCTGTGAACAATGTGGCAAATCATTTGCAAGGAAGGACATGTTAAAAGAACACATGAGAGTCCATGATAACATCCGAGAATATCTATGTGCAGAATGTGGTAAAGGTATGGTATCTTATCTGTGAGGCATGAGAATATGAATTTCCATGGCTATTTAAATTAAATTACATTCCTCACAAAATACCACAATTGAGCATTTAATTTTATATGAAAATGTGATCTTATCCTGTTTCATTTCTGTTGGGTTTGGATGTGGTGTCTTAAGCACATTCTTATTGCTTCTGAAATGGAGTAAGATATTATGGCTGCTGATGTTAATGCATTCTTGGTTTAGATCTTCTCTTAATGGAATCTCAGCCACAGATTTGGTCTTAGCATTAGGCAGAGTTAGATGGCCACTTTAGAAAGCTGACATTAGGTATATGCCAGCTATTAATCATAACAATTAATGTCATTATAGACATACAAGAAAAGAAGCTATTCCTGTTCCAGGAACAAACTCTCAAATTAGGAAGGGAATCGTAATATTCAGAAGACTGTCCCTTATGAAGCTGGCAAATTTGCAGATCATAATTATTATAGTTTTGGATATGTTCCCATTGACCTGTCTCTACTGCAGACTGTAGATGGCTTCCTCTCCGGTTTCAGGATCAGATCCTTAGCAGAACCCACTTGTGCGTAATGATGCCAAATAAGGTAATTTAAATCCTATGCTGATGTTAGTCCCAGTCAGTCTGGCACAAGAATGCCACTCAGGAGAACAGTTGAAGAATAGAAGATGGCCATAAATGCCAGTCTTAACAGGGTGGGCAGCTCACTTACAAAACAGGACTGGGCATGGAACATAGCCCCATTATGAGTCACCATTGCTTGTCATCCAGTTAGACCAGGGGTCCTCAACCTTGGCAACTTGAAGACTTGTGGATTCTGGGAGTTGAAGTCCACAAGTCTTCAAGTTGCCAAGGTTGAGGACCCCTGAACTAGACTGAAGAGCAGTACCACTAATCCTAAAATTGGACTTTGACCAGGTGAAAAGGTACTGCCAAGTGGTGTAAAATGGCAAAATTACAACTAGAATCATTGAAATAATAATAATAATAATAAAGTTGGAAGGGACCTTGGAGGTCATCTAGTCCAACCCCCTGCTCAGGCAGGAAACCCTATGCCATTTCAGAGAAATGGCTGTCCAATCTCTTCCTAAAGACTTCCAGTGTTGGAGCATTCACAGCTTCTGGAGGCAGATTGTTAGGATAAATAGTTAGGACGAATCCAGTTGAAGGGCCTTCAGTGTCCATATCAGTGAAATATACAAAAGGCATTACTTATCACATCTCCAGATTGGCTAAATCAGCAGCATCTGTCGCAGAATGGGTTGTCCATCTGATTTTCATGAAACCTCAACAAAACAGCAATGTCCCTCTCACCTTGGCCATGACAGTGAACTCTTCTTAGCCTAGAGCAAGAGGGGATTGTTATGTTTTTGGCACTCTGGGCAAAAGGATGACTCTGGCTCAATTCTCACTTTTTTCAGTGCTCACCATGGTGCCACATAAATTAAATTGCTTGAGGCAGCATAATTATACTTATTTTGAATTCACGCCAATACAGTAATATTTACTCCTCCTATTTTTCTTAGCAAATCTGACAATTGGAATTTTTTTTTAAAAAAATCTGTTTGTACTGTATTATGTGTATTGTGTGTTATGCTATAAGCCACTTGGAGTCATATGTTGAAGAGACATAAAAGCATTTGTCATACTTACATATTGTATAATGGGTTTATATGGATCTTACAGTTTCAGCAGTCAAGACCATCTTGAGTAACCAGTCATTTGGTGCACCTTTGAATGGTGCTACAAAAGGCAAGACATTTGTGGCACTAACAGCAGAAGTCCCTAAGGGGGACATCCCAAACATTCTTTCCTAGAAATCAATTCTCTGAAAGTCCCAATTTAATCTTTTGACACTGGAAAAGTTTAGGAATGCTCAGAGGGATATATGCATGTCTCTACAAACAGGAAATCAGGAGAGTTGAAGTTCTCATTCAACAATTTACAGATAGGTTAGAAAATGCATTATGACAGCCAGCAAAATGCCACACCCCCTGCTTCATAGCATTTTCTGTAGAAGGGCAGAAAAGGAGCTTTATTGGCAGACTACTGTTATAGAGTGACTCTGGGTTAAAATCTCTTTTGTAAAACATTGTAAAATAGATTAGTTTGTGTCTTCAGACACAGATGTTGGCTACATTGGATCACAAAGTGCTATAATTTACATGTATCCCATGAATACTGCTCTGTAGGTCTCTTTCCTGTCAGCTCCATCTCCAATGAATGAGAACGGCAATTACATATATTGTGGAGTACCTTTCTGGTCTTCAGAAGATGGGCCCAGCAGTCCCATCCTATTTAGAAGGGAAAATAGATTTAAGACCAGGTGGCCAAAGGATAGAGATAAGTCTAACTGCTGTTTCTCTTGCATGTTTTTGAACGAAGAGAGCCAGTATGGTATAGGGATTAAGGTGTTTGACCAGGGGAGCCTAGGGTCAAACCCATCCTCAATTGTAGAGTCACAGTAGATTAATTCAGGACAGTCACACATTCTTAATCTAACCTACTACCCAAGATTGTACTGGGAAAAAACTGGAGGAGAGGGTGCTATGTAGGCTGCCCTGAGCTTTTCGAGGAAGGCAAGATATAAATGTAACAATAAATAAAATATAACATAACCAAATATGCTTAAAATGGCTTGCCCGCCATGTTTTAGCATGGAGTTTATTCCTTGCAGGCATGAAAACAAAGCATGCATTGAGACATCACATGAAGCTTCACAAAGGAATAAAGGAGTATGAATGTATGGAATGCCATCGGAAATTTGCACAGAAAGTCAACATGCTTAAACATTATAAACGGCACACAGGTGAGCCCCATTGATAGGAGCTTCATGGACCCTGCAGAGAGTGAGTCAAATTGCCTGGAAGTTGTTGGGCTTTAAATTAAAATGATGTCAGTTCATTTTTATAGCAATTATACTCCAGGTATCTTCAGGAGTAAACAGTATAATTGTATACCCAGTTATTCCTAGGAAATGCCCAAAGAGTTCAAGCTGCTGTATTTTCTACATGGCTATACACACACACACACACACACACACACACACACACACACACACACACACACAAATAAAATAAACACGGTGTAAAGATTATGATTAGCATTCTTTAACCCAATATAATTTTACCTGACATATTTTATCTTTCTGATAAAACAATATTAAAGACCAGTTTAAAACAATACATTCTAGCATATTTGCTAAACTCCAGAGAGCAGATTGAAAGAAATAAAAAGGATTGCTAACATAGATGGAAGAACTGATGATAAAAGGCTGAAGGATATTTGGATGTTTGAAACATGTAAGAGAATCCTCCCCAGTCCCCAAATTTGCTCCCCTGCCAACAAAACATTTCTTTGGAGATCCAGGCCAAAAGACAAACTGCTTATCTGCAGAAACTACAAAGTTGAAGTTTGGGTTTATTGTGTTTAATCGTGCTAAATTCAGCATTGCCACTTCAGTCCTGAGACTTGTTCCTCATGAAACTAATGAAAGAGCAAAAGCAGGCTGTCATTAGTATGGTATTGAGAGCAGTTTATCCCAGGTCCCGAACAATTTTTTTTGCCAGCACTGTGTCCCAGATCTCTTCTTCCTATTGCATTCTTTTAGTACTAAGGAAAGGCATATTATTGTTACATACAATTTAATATTTGATATACAGCAATATAAGAAACCATTGTTTTGGTACTTACTATGGTTTCTAATTAGCAGGGATCAAAGATTTCATGTGTGAGCTCTGCGGAAAGACCTTTAGTGAGAGGAACACAATGGAAACCCATAAACTAATTCACACAGGTAAATACTAGAATATTAATCCTAAAATAAAAGTAGGCCTTCCTCATCTCTTACATTGTTCTGCCTTTTTTGATTCCATATTAATCAGTTAATAAATGCCTGCTTCATGCATTATTGTAATGTATTTTTTATGCTGCCTACATTCCTTCTTCCCTGAACTGATGCTTCTGAGAAGTATTGTACTGCAATATTCAGCTTTGCTATTGATTATTCTGTGTAGGATTCCTGCAAGTTTAGTCCCCAAATATCAGGCAAATACCAAGTTGAAGAAGCTGCTCTACTCCAAGAATGGAGAACCCAGTCTTCCAGATGGTATTAAATTAATATTCCCAACATCACTAATCAGCGCCATTCTAAGCTGAAGCTACTAGGATTTATAATTCAGAATAGTTTATGGGGCCCAGAGGTTCCCTGTTCCATTTTTTCACCATCAACTCTTTAAGAAGTGCTAAAATTGAAGTCCTCAGAAATTGAGTATTAAGAAGTGTGATTACATATTAATACAAAATGTTTTGTTTTGCTACTAGTGGGGAAGCAGTGGACATGCTCAGTGTGTGATAAAAAGTATGTCACAGATTACATGCTTCAAAAGCATATCCAGCTGACTCATGATAAAGTAGAAGCTCAGAATTGTCAACTCTGTGGGACAAAAGTATCTACCAGAGCTTCAATGAGTCGTCACATGAGAAGAAAACACCCAGAGGTGAGTATAGTAGCAGATTAATAAGTAAGAATTTTTGTTGACTTCCTCTGAGACAGGTAAGAAATATAGATTCTTGCTCTGAGCACTAATAGCAATCCAATAACTCAGAGCTCTTCAACCTTGGCAACTTTGCGACTTGTGGACTTCAATTCCCTGAATTCCTCTGCCAGCAGGAAAACCACAAGTCCACAAGTGGTAAAGTTGCCACAGTTGGCAATAACTCACTTCTTTTCCTGTGGTGCTTATTAAGATGCTTCTTTTGATAATATTAATACATAGTGCAGTGTTAAAGACCACATGGATTATGGTTTTTAATTTGGGAGAAATAGAAAGTACTAATTCCTAACATTAGCAAGTTAACTTAAAAAAGAAAATTATCTTTTCCTGATATACTATTTGAGACTCCTTTGTCTAAATATTCTTATATTTTAAATTTTGTGTTGGGTCCCTTTTTAAAAAGAAGAGAAAGAGCAACATACTTCAGTGGATGTTCAAAATATTTAAGGCATACATATGAAAAGAACCAACTTAGAGCAGTTTTTTTATTTTGCATTTACACAGCCTTCATCCATAAGCCCCAGGACCAAAAGATACAACATTTTGCATCTGCTTGTAGTTTTATAGCCAGCTTGGATGAAAACAATTATGAGAGGAAAGGACCTCAAAAAGTCGTTGTATTAATCAGTGGAAAGACGCTTCCCTCTCTCTTTTTGCTACAGAATAATGGAATGGCCATTAATGTTAGAACAAAGAAATCATGGCAATTGGTTTCAGTTGAAGAACAGACTTGGTCCTTTTTTTCTATCTTTCCTGTGTCTTCACAGCATTCTTTCCTACTGAGTGACTATCCTTTCTACATAACTGCAAAATAATGTTGCTTTGGTTATGTTTTATTTTCAGGTTCTTTCAGTTAGGATTGATGACTTGGAGCAGCTATCAGAGACCACAACTATTGATGCTTCATCTATAGGAATTGTGCAGGTAAAGTTCACATGTAGTCAGATAAGATGCTGTATTCAATCTCATGTTTTTGTATTGTATAATAAAAAGAAAGCCCGTAGCTTGCAAAAAGAATTATCCAAGCATGCATGCTTGGGGGTTCGCAGGAGCTTAATCAGGAAATCTTTTCAGAATACAGATTTTTATCCTATGAATAAGAGATTTTGCAACTTCAGTAGCAAAAACAAAATTTATTGCTTTTATACTAGGCATACATTTGGTGTCATACATTTTACCATTTGTTGAATAAGAATACCTCTATATTGATGCAGTATATACACTATCATATGTGTTTAAATTAAGGATAATGAATCGAAGTCCTAGAGATGTAGACTCTCATACCTTTCCAGTTTTAGATGAGAGACTCTTAGACACTTCTTTGATGAGATACATATGGAGTTCAGTCACAGGAAAATCACAAATCTGTTACACTTTAAAAATCAACAAGGTTCTGTTATTTCATGGATTAGAGCATGTTTTATCATATGCATTAAATATTTCCCTTGGTTAGCAGCTACAACAAATGCTAACTTAAAGGGAAAAAATCTAAACAATGGGGGCAGAAGGGTAGGAAGTGCAAGAGGTGTCATTTGTGATATTTTTATTTATTTCTTAGATTTATATCCCGCCTTCCCTTCAGGAGTCATAACACTCCCTCAAAATTTTCCCCACAACCACCACCACCCTGGAAGGTAGGTTGGGCTGGAGAAACTGACCAGCCCAAAGTCACCCAGTGAGGTTCTGTGACTGTGATTCAGGATGGACTTGAACCTGGGTCCTAGTCAATCTCTTTAGCTATTATATTGGTTCTCCCTCTATTAAGGTTCTACAGATATGTTTAATAGCTATTTCTATTCAATCTCAAACGTAGGTAAGATAGCTGAACACTATGATAATTTATAGCACGGATAGTTAGCCCAGAATACAATTTTAGTAGCTTTTGTGCTATTTTAGTATGGGCAATGTCTTAGTTGAATCCTAAACAAGTAGAATTGAGGTTACTTACAATTTTGTAATCTTCCCATTTCGAATTAGAGCTTATTATAAAATTCAGTTATTGAAAAAAAGTACTGTGAATGAGAAAGGTGATATTGAATTTCATTAAAATGTCTTCCTATAGCCAGATCTAGCTCTGGAACAAAGTGAATTACAAGAAGGGAAGCATACAAAGGCTCATAAACGAGGTCATAAACAGAAGCACAAACCTGGCGAAGAAGAGGAAACACAACTTCCTGAAGATTCTGCGTTCACTGAATATACAGAAAAAGAAGTGGAATTTACAGGAAATGTAGGGGATGAAACTAATTCAGCAGTGCAAAGCCTTCAGCAGGTGAGTCCCACTTGCAACTAAAAAATATGAGACTTCAAATATTTTAATGCATGGCATTTGCACAATGATGTTTAAGAATTTACGAACAGATTTGTAAAATGTGCTTGTTGCAAGTAAAAGAAAGGAAGGGGAAATTATTAAAATTAGGATTGTGTGATGTATAAGCCCCCACAGTGAATGAATTCACTCCAGTCAGAGCAAATAATACATCTTTTGGGAAGAAAAAAAAGCTTGCAGTCTGCTGGAGAGAGGATTTTCCACGGACCGGAGTGGGTGTGGTTTTGTGTGCTGTCTGTATCCTGTGGATGGGGTTTTCCTTGCTTGTGTGAACCAGTTGCTGGCATGCTGCGGCCTGGTACTGGACCGGGGGGTGGGGGGTGGGGACCCCTGATGTAACAAATTGAATCAAAACAGTATGATGTTTTTGTCCAGACTTGTTTGAAATCTTATTCCATCCCAGTGGAATAAGGGGCTTATTTCTCTGTTTCCATTGTGTCTGCACCCTGAAGAAGTTAATGATGCTTAATCATAGTATGAGGCATTACTTCCATCATAATGTTTGGGGAGGAGAGCTAGAGTCTTGCTGTGAGCAATTTTCATTGTTCTTTACAGACAAATTTTATGTATGTATGTATGTATGTATGTATAATATATGTCTATGTATGTATATATAGAGATAGAGTTAGAGAGAGAGAGAGAGAGAGAGAGAGAGAGAGAGAGAGAGAGAGAACCACAATTAGGTAAGTTCACACAACTTACTAAACACTTTGTCATTGTCTGGAGGCCATTCCTGGACCAAAAACATTTTATTAGCATGAAGCATATTGAGTACTCAGTAATGCTTTTAGCCCTTAATGTAGTGATAATCACATTTGTCCAATTTTTTGCTTGAGCATTGGATGTAATAATCACATTGATAATTTCAGCCCTATCAGTGCTAATTTTCATCCCTTTATTTTCAGGTGGTGGTGGCCCTTGGAGACCCGAATGTGTCAGCTCCTTCTAGTTCTGTTGGTTTGACCAATATTAGTGTTACTCCAATCACTACGACTGCTGGAACCCAATTTACAAATCTACAACCTGTGGCTGTAGGTCACCTTGCCACGCCTGAACGCCAATTGCAGCTAGACAATTCTATTCTCACAGTGACATTTGATACAGTTACTGGTTCTGCCATGTTGCATGGCAACCGCCAAAATGATATCCAGATACAGTCACAGCCTGAGGCAACCAACCCCCCATCAGTAGCTCATTTTATAAACCTAACAACTCTGGTGAACTCCATTGCTCCATTAGGGAGCCAAATAGCAGAACAGCATCCCTTAACATGGAGGGCAGTGCCTCAAACTGATGTCTTGCAGACTCAGGCCCAGCCATCCCAACCACAGACAGGGCAACAGCAGGTTCAACCTGAACAGCAGCAGCAAATGTACAGCTACTAACTTCTACTTGAAAGAAGACAACCAACCTCTGAATGGGTTTGCAGAAGCCCATGGGACACCAAACCTAAATCAATTGCTGGAAACCAAACATATGGGGAATAAAAGGCTTATGGTGTGAGATGTATGCTGATCTTAACCCAGCAACTAGAAATGCCAAGCCCTTGAGAATTTCACACTCTTCACACTCATTGCTACTTTAGCAAATTATGGGTACTGTTAATCAGCTGCAGGAAATAGGTACAAGGCAAGTTTCAGGAGAGTTGAGACTGTTTTTAAAGCAGAAGAGGAAGAACAATGTAAAGCTAGGATATGCCTGCCTGACAGTGGGGTGCAAGAGCCTAACTGAGCAAAAAAAATAATTTTTGTTTAAGTTTTGCTTTTTCTTCCATAGACCAATCCATTGTATCTAATGGAACAAAGTGGGTGGAAGTAGGGTGGGGATAGTCTGTGATGTGATATGTGCTTCGTTTCATGTATCATTTTCATTATAGTGATGGAGAAACCACTCTATACATAAGACAACATGGGACGTTACCTGGAATTAGATAGTCTAATGTTAAAGTAACATTTATGGTCTCTTGCCTAGTAAAATTAAAACCTGAATCCAGCTTGTTCTGATCTAAATCCGTAATGAGGTAATATATTTACAAAACTGCTTGCTAATTAAGTTCTTCCCATTGAAATTGATTTGCCAGTTGGTCATTAATTCACCAATTTGTCTGTTCTATCATGTCATAAATATTTGGGTTCAGATGGGTGAATGGTCGTTTTTCTATAATACCCTTTGCAATTCATTCTGTGTTCCTGGCAGGTATTTGCAAATTGAGGGACCCTTTCCAAACTGACATCATATATCCACTTGTATCATTTGTATCAGCTGATAGGAGAATTCTGCTTCTGGAAACAAAAATGCATAGCAGCTTACTACAAATTAGAGTGTAATATCCATTGCAGGTGATATTGACCACAAAGAGGTAGACTGAACAAATGCTAAAGAAAAATATTTGTCCTAAACAAAACATGGAAGAAAATTCACATTATCCACTCAAACTAAAGGGAACATCTCTGAACCCTTACATGCTGTATCTGCTTGACGTTGTTAAGTCCAAGTTCAGTCTATATTGTGTGTGTATGCTCATTAAATAAAGGAGAGTAGCCCAGTGGTTGACGGGGAAAAAAATTGAATAAATCTTTCCTTTGCATTTTTAAACAGCACTTTTTTCTAGACAGACAGACAGACATTTGAACTATTGTCCATAAGTTGACCAATGATTTTCTTAAACCTATTTCTGATAACAAATGGATTTTGCTATTAACAAAAAATATTTTCTAACCTAGTATATTAATTAAGTGCTTGGATTATAAAAATTAAGAATCAATTATGGCTCCTTATGATTCTCTAATGCCGTGAATTATTTTGAATTATGCCATGGTGGCGCAGTGGTTAGAATGCAGTATTGCAAACTAGCTCTCCCCACTGCCAGGAGTTTGATCCTGATAGGCTCAGAGTTTATTCAGCCTTCCATCCTTCTGAAATCAGTAAAATGAGGACCCAGATTTGGGGGGCAATTGCTGACATTGTAAACCTCTTAGAGAGTGCCGTAAAGCACTATGAAGCGGTATATAAGTCTAAGTACTATTGCTATTTTTATGGAGATCCCTTTGGAAAAAGTATTTATTAATGTATACATTCTTTCAGCAGAAACCGCAAAAAGGAAAAAGGAAATAGGAGAAATATATTGGGAAAATTGGTAGCATTAGGAAGGAAAAGAATGAAAGGCAGATGAATATCAGTGATAAGGCAAAGGGAAAAAAAAGTACCTAGAAAAAGGAAAAAAGAGAAAAAGCTTGTTTAAATGTTACAAAATATTAAAAACACCAGCAAAGTGTGCCTCTCAAAAATAGCTAAACTTCAAAAGGTGGAATACTTTACAGCCTTAGGTATCTGTTGTCAATTCCTTTGTTTTCAATCACTTCTAGTCTTATCAGCAAATGTAAAATAACACCCTATCCTATTTCAGGAAAAACATTCTTTCTGTCAAGAAAATATGGTATATATTTATAAGAACCTTCTGTCGTACAAACCAGTTCCTCATTATGAAGCAATATAGCCCAAAGCAGGAATAAGATACATAGGATACAGATACGTAGGAGTTTCAGTTCCAATAAGCCCCACTCAGATAGTTTAATTGTAAGGGATTGTTAAGGTATAGTTTAGCACAGGGGAGGCAACCCAAAACACTCAAAGAGCCACTTGGACCCGTTTCCCATCGAAAACAAAACACTGGGAGCCACAAAACCCTTTTGATATCTAAAATGAAGATAACACTGCATATATCCTTTTTTACCTTTAATGTGTGTGTGTGTGTGTGTGTGTAAAATAAAGTTAAAAAAGGATATATGCAGTGTTATCTTCATTTTAGATGTCAAAAGGGTCTCTGTCTCTTTCCTTTCTCTTTCTCCCCCTCTTTCCTCTTTTTCTTTCCTCTTTTTCTCTTTCCTCTCCCCCTCTTTCTCTCTTTCCTCTCCCTCTTCCTCTTTTCCTCTTTCTGTCTTTCCTCTTTTTCTCTTTTCCCCTTTCTCTGTTTCCTCTCCCCCTTTTTCTCTTTCCCTTTCTCTCTTACCTCTTTCCTCTTTTTCTCTTTCCTCTCCCCCTCTTTTTCCTCTCTTTCTCTTTCCTCTCCCTCTTTCTCTCTCTCTTTCCTTTCTCTTTCTCTCTTTCATCTCCCTTCTTTCTCTCTCCTCTCTTTTTTCTTTCCTTTTTCTCTTTCCTCTCCCCTTTCTCTCTTTCCTCTCCCTCCTTCCTCTCTCTTTCCCTCTTTCCTCTTTTCTCTCTCCCTTTCTCTCTTTCCTCTCCCCCTCTTTTTCCTCTCTTTCCTCTTCCTCTTTCTCTCCCGCTCTCTCTTTCTCTTTCCTCTTTCTCCTGTCTCTCTTTCCTCTCTTTCATCTCTCTTCTTCTCTCTCTTTCCCCCCCCTCTCTCTGTAAAAGTAATCCTGATCTATATGATATTGTCTTATATGGCTGACACAGTAACATGAAAAGAAGGGGCACAAACTAGATGCATCTTCTGGTAATCTTAGAGGACAGTGTGATGTTGGTAAGCAATATAATCCTGCACTGAAAAGTGAGCTGAGGAACTGACTTGGGTGTTGCTGAACTATAACACCTGCTGATAATAGGAGTTGTAGTTCAATCCTATTTGGAGAATCAAAGATTTCCTTCCCAGATATATAGGATGTTTAGAGAAAACATTTAGCAAAGTGCCTGTGGCACAAAACTCCAATTTATACAAAGTATGGGCGGGGAGGGGGAGCAGGACGGGAGGCAGTGGCTCCGGTGGTGATGGTGTGGCGTGGCTGCAGCGTCCTCAGCTGAACGGGCGGGGAGGGGGAGCAGTACGGGACGCAGTGGTTCAGCCAAATGGGCGGGGAGAGGGAGCAAGAAAGGAGGCAGCGTCTCCAGTGGTGGTGGCGCAGCCCAGCTGCTGCATCCTCAGCCAAATGGGCAGGGAGAGGGAGCAGGACAGGAGGCAGCGGCTCTGGTTGGCAGTGACATGGCCCGGCTGCTGTGTTCTAAGCCGAACGGGCGGGGAGGGGGAGCAGGATGGGAGGCAGCGGCTCCGGTGGTGGTGGTGGCATGGCCCGGCCATCGTGTTCTTAGACGAACGGGCGGGGGGAGGAGCAGGACGGGAGGTAGTGGCTCCGGTTGGCGGTGGCGCACCCTGGCCACTGCATTCTAAGCCGAATGGGGGAGAGGGAGCAGGACGGAAGGCAGTGGGTCTGGTTGGTGGTGGTGCAGCCCGGCTGCTGCGTTCTAAGCTGAATGGGCGGGTAGGGGGAGCAGGATGGGGGGCAGCGGCCCCAGTGGTGGTGGCGCGGCCTGGCCGCAGCATTCTAAGCAGAATGGGTGGGGAAGGGGAGCAGGATGGGAGGCAGTGGCTCTGGTGGCAGCGGCCTGGCCTGGCTGCCGCGTCCTTAGCCGAATGAGCGGGGAGGGGGAGCAGAATGGGAGGCAGCGGCTGCTGTGGTGATGTCGCGGCCCGGCCGCTACATTCTAAGCCAAACGGTTGGGGAGGGGGAGCAGGATGGGAGGCAGCGGCTCTGGTGGCAGTGGTCCCGCCTGGCCCGGCCGCAGCGTCCTCAGCCGAACGGACAGGAAGGGGGAGCAGTATGGGAGGCAGTAGCTCAGCCAAATGGGTGGGGAGGGGGAGTAGGACAGGAGACAGCGGTTCCGGTGGTGGTGGCGCAGCCCGGCTGCTGCGTCCTCAGCCAAATGGGCAGGGAGGGGTAGCAGGATGGGAGGCAGCAGCTCCGGTGGTGGCGGCATGGCCCTGCCGCCGCGTCCTCAGCTGAACGGGTGGGGAGGGGAAGCAGGACAGGAGGCAGCGGCTCTGGTTGGTGGTGGCGCAGCCTGGCCGCTGCGTTCTAAGCCGAATGGGCAGAGAGGGGGAGCAGGACGGCAGACAGCGGCTCCGGTGGTGGTGGTGGCGTGGCCCGGCCATTGCGTTCTTAGATGAACAGGCGGGGAGGTGGAGCAGGACGGGAGGTAGCGGCTCCAGTTGGCGGTGGTGTGGCCTGGCCGCTGCATTCTAAGCCGAACGGGCGGAGAGGGAGCAGGACAGAAGGCAGCGGCTCCGGTTGGTGGTGGCGCAGCCCGGCCACTACGTTCTAAACTGAACGGGTGGGGAGGGGGAGCAGGATGGGAGGCAGCGGCTCCAGTGGTAGTGGCCTGGCCCAGCCACCGCATCCTCAGCCAAACGGGCGGGGAAGGGGAGCAGGATGGGAGGCAGCAGCTCTGGTGGCGGCAGCACGGCCTGGCTGCCACCCCTGCTGTGTCCTCCCCAATGGGGGAATGCCACTGCGGGGATGTCCCGGCCAGCCCCACCGCCTTCACAGCCCAAAGTCTCCTCCTGCAGTGGCGGCGGCGGCGGCAGCGGGAGGACAGCAAAGTGGCATGGCTGCCCACTCACCACCGCCTCGCTCAGCACGACCAGCAGCAGCGGCAGTGGGAGGACAGCCAAGAGGACCACGTAGCAGGTGGGGAAAGGGCCAGGCAGGCACCATGGGGGAATCCACTGCCCATGAGATGGCCAAAAGGCGCAGGCGGAGAGGGGAAGCTCCGGAAAACCCCCGGTGACCCCCCCAACTAACAGAGGTGGCGGCGGAGCAGGGCAAGGGGAGACCCGCCGGGCAGGGAAGAGGCACCCCGAGACCGGCCACCACATGCAGTACGAAGAAGGAAAGAGGTTTGTGGGCAGTCCAACAAACCAAAGAAATTCAACCAATCAATTCAAACTTCATGAGAAGTTTGAATTGATTGATTGAACTTTTTTAGTCCCACTTTTTTTTCAGACTGTATATGGTGGCTGAGGACAGGGAGCCACAGGAGATGGCTGAAAGAGCCACATGCGGCTCCAGAGCCGTGGGTTGGCGACCCGTGGTTTAGCATATCCAGAAATCTCCATGTTGCACACTATTTTTCCTCCACTCCAACATGAGGCTTTAATTTGCATAATTTGGATTATGATCTCATATTGTGATTAGACTCATTTGGGAGTAAAGTTCATTGAATTCAGGGAGTCTGAATCAAAATAGAACTACAGAAGACTGAGCCGTTAGTCATAAAGAGGGCAGGCACCCTGGCTGTCTTTCCAGGTATTGCCCACATATTTCCAAGCATATTGTAGCAAAAATTATTGATATACCTGTCATATTGAGGCAATTTCTCAACACATAAATGTTGTGATTTCAGCATACAGTATATACACAAGACTATATCTAGACAAAGGTTAGAATGTAGATAATATCAGTCTGTTGATGCTTTAAGGGCCAACTGCTAATAAAGAAAACAGCAGCATGCAAGAAAATATGAATCATTTATGAAACATTTTTTGTTGCATACAAAGTCAAAATCTGCTAATTTTAGTTCTAGCCCAGCAAACATAAAAGAAAGGTTTGTTTGCATGAAGTAGATGGAATCAAGCCCAATGAGCAATGATAAGCTTGGATCCATGTGTATGAAAGCAAGTTAAAACTACCTGCAGAACCAGAAGAAAGAATGGGAAACTTGTTCCTGGAGGCAAATATGTCTAATCTTTTCTCCTTCTCCTCCCTCTTCTGCTATTTTCCCATGCTATGCACACAGATCTCAACATGCTTAAAAATTTCCTGCAGGCATAACTACC